GTGATTATCAACAGAGGCCTTGTCCATGATAAGAAATGATAAAAAATACCAACCAACTGTTTCTAGTTTTCTTTCTTGTACAATAAAAGCTGAAAAAGGAAAGCTGGATTTTTTTCACTACTCCATGAGCATCTTGAAACACCTGGAGATGTTGAACTTAATCCATTAATTTCAATAGGACTGTTCTTTTCTTTCTAGAGCATAAATTAAATTACATGCTAAGTGTTTCTCAGATTTTATTTACAATCAGGAGGTGTTTTTAAATGGCTTATCTTTGCCAATTATAATTAGAAAGCTGCCAGCAAACATAATGGATAAGAAATAGATTATAAGGGCAAATGTTTGTCATGTAAGCTTTAGAGCACTTCGTTAGGATGTGGGTTGTTTGTAGTTTGGAGTATTTTATGGTTATTAATGGTTTTTTGTTAGTGAAATTTACACAAATGCATTTATACTTTTTAATTTACACTGTTTTGTCAGATAATATATAAACGGATTCATGTTTTGCTGTGTGGCTCATATTGGGTCCATAAGTTTGGCAGAAGAGATTTAGAAGACTCTTCCTCTGAATTACTCATACTTTTGATAGGACCAACAAAAAAAAAAATCTCTTCTCAGTGAAATGCTTTTAATTCTTCCCTGACTAAACCATGAGGAAAGATGTAATATGTTCATACCCACTTGTGTTACTGCCCTGTAGGGCAGCTCACTTCTGTAACAGCAGAAATCCCTTCTTGTGCCACCCACTGAACAGAATGAAATCTTGTACCCTGGGCTCCTGTACACCTTGAAAAATTCTTTTTTTTTTGTGCCATCTACAAACGAGATGAATAATGGGCCCAATTGTTGTTCACCTTCAATCAAAGTTAATATCACCTCACTCCACGAGTAGTTCTTGACATTAGTAGGGAGCTTACAAGAGAAGGTTCTCCTTGCACTGTCATCACTGTGACCTGGGACAGAAGTGCCATGCTAGGTGTAACAGAGAGAGAAGACTCTGCAGGTTTCTCTGCTCTTGGTTAAATGCTTGGTTTGAAACTTTTGGGAAGTTCAGTGAGACGATTTTTTAATAGCTCTTATTACATTTACACTCATGTGGTTTTTTCCACGGCTTTGGCCAGAGAAGTCTGGCTCTGGTGCCTGAAAGAAACCTACCCATGGAATATATTTGGTGGTGGTAGCAGCACTGCCTGTGACAGTGAAGCTGCTGCCTCTCTTGACCTGAACAGACTGTTGAGCTGGTGATTCATTCACTTTGAGCCTATTTCTCTTCTCTCTGGGATCCTTGTATGGAATTGCTTGGCCGTTACCACTGGTTTCTTGCTCGGTGTTTTGGGATTAGTCTGGCACAGTCGCTCTCTGTAGTCATTTAGCAGCTGTCAGGTAGTACTGACTTGAAGGAATTGGGATTCTCTCTTGCCTTTTTTCTGTTGCACCAGATGATGTTCACTTGGCCTCCTTTCTCACAAATTCTGCGTGGCATAGAAAGAAACTGAGTGATAAGTTTTAAAAGTCCATTGGTCTTTATGCAGTCTGGCAAAAATTTCTTTTGCAAATAAAATAGAAACAGAAAAATAGTTTATGGCCACTATTTTATTAGACATAAATTTCATGTTCTGTGTTTTTCTGTAAAGAGAAAATTTAGCTGTTCAAGTATTTACTGCATTAAATGGTAAAACAAGATTACAGTGCAGGATACAGAAGTTTTTGATATCGCATTCACTTTTTCCACTTCACGTTAAGTAAACACAAAATAGAAAAAAATAATATTTTTGTGGCATGTTTTCACTATTAAAGTGATTTTAGTCTTTCAGATAAAACTGTACTGAATACAGTTTTATCTGAATTCTGAATACTCTGTATTTAAAGTATACTATTTCAATAATGAAACTGTTGTTTGCTCTTAATTCTTGGAAACTTGATTTAAGGGATAAAGTTTGATTAGTAAAATCAGCTCTTATTCATTGCATATGGGTTTATAAATTACTTACAAGCCAGAGTCTAAATTGCAATTAACTATACCCACATCCTAATTAAGTATTGCAAATGCGTAATGAAGTATATTTCCAGAGGGGGAATAAAAAAAAAGGCAAGGATTTATCCAAGCATTTAAGTATTTTTTCTTCTATGTTTTTAAAAATTTAAAAAGAAAAAAAGAAGAGAAAAGGTCTCTGGACTTAGCTAAATAAACTTTGCATTTCTGCTGCAGCTCTCAGGAATATCCTCACAGCACCCCACTAGTCAGGAATATATTTGTTCATGAAACCGTATGTTTAATGCCAGAAAACAGGGAACTGGGAAGTAATGGCTGCAATTCAGCAAAGTTCCTATGACTATGGCTGGTTTTGTCATCATAGTTTCTAAGGCAGTAAACAGGATTTGACTCACCTAAATTGCATGTATTTTACATGCAGTGCCTGTGTTGATATTTCAGCCTTTAAAATAAAGGGAAATTTATTTCTGTGTATACATGTATTTACAGCTTCTGTCACAGTACTGCCACCTACCTTTATTTTTCACATAAAAGATTGAAGGTGTTTTAGTTAAGGCTTTATTTTCCTCAGAATATCCTAAGAAATCCTTTTTCACTTAGAATGTTGACAGTAAAATCACCAGTTGTTTTGCGGCTTGAGTTTTGTTTTGAGGCTTGAGTTTTGGAAGTGGCTTCTTAGGGAATTTGAGTCAAAGCCATGTCTTTAAAACAAGCTTTATTAAACTGATCACATATTGTATTCATTTCTGTGGGCAGTTGCAGTGGATTTATTCAACAATTCTAAATGGGCAACATATTTATGGCATCCTGTTAACATGCTAATGCAGACATTTGGCAGCTTCCAGAGTAGTTTTGAGATTATTAAATAAGTTGAGCAGTATGAACTATTACATTGTATTTCCTGCTCCTGTTTACTTCAGTATTTACTGAAGCTGTATATGTTCTTTTTTCTGATATACTGTAGTCTTTTGACACCAGGGTGAGAATGCTGGACAGTCACTGGCCTTTACCATGTCAGAGCATAAAATCGAAATCTATTCTTTCTTGTTGCTGGCTTCATGATTGGTTTTTGTTGGTGTGCCTTTTACAGGAAAAGGATTGTCAGTCGACTTCTTTTTGAAATTACTTTCTGGACAAAGATAAGCATAGTGCTATTTTAGAACTGTCTTTTTAGAAAGTGCAAACCCACTGATTTACTGGCATGCATTAGGTTTAGAGTTTAGCATTACCAGAGCCTTGACCACCTTATTGAAAATTTGAAACATGAATGGAATTCATGTTATAATGATATTAGCATGAAATCAAATAAAAGCTTCTATTCAAGAAGATATAATTAAGTGTTTTCTTTTGAATTGAGGAGAGTTTACTATTGCATTTTAGAGTCTATCAAGGTCTGATAGAAGTCTTGATTATTGTTTAAATCTCTCGTTTAAATGTAGTCATGTTCAGTCAGTAACTAGGGAGTGATCACAAAGAGGGAAAAGAAGATTTTTACTTCTTGTATTAATAGGAAATACATACTTTGCCTATGAGCTTCCATGAAAAACCCCTCACCAAGTTGTGATGGTGCCAGATAGACAAATGAGATCCATGACAGAGTGTGAAGCATGATGGGGAGAAGCTGTCTCTGAATACCTAGGCTAGACTCAAAGCAGGGAAGGACTGTAAAATGAGGATCATGTCCCATGTACGGAGACCCATTTCAAGCACTTTCCACTGGTGTATGTAGGCTAACGCCTACACAAAAGGGTCCTCAGCACTTACTTTGTTAGGAGCTTGCCTTCCCTTATGGTACGTGTCCTGTCTCTGCAGCTCTCTGGAGCAATGACTTTCTATACAATTTTTTTTTGGTACCACCTAGCATAAAAGAGTTCATTCTTGGTTGTTTTCCTGATTAAAAAGTAAATTTGATGGTAAATTACTTTGCATTCACTGATATACAGCCTTTTATATGTAGCAGACGATGATACAGATCACTATGTTTAATACCAAAGTGGCCTTTTTGAAGTCATTATTTACAAGCATATATACCTCTATGCAGGAAAAAAAGAAGGGTATATTAACAATTTTTGAATAGAAACAGGTGAAATACTTAGTGTTCTCTGAGTATTGCTGTTAAATTTGCTAACATAGCATCATTTTGTTTTCATTAACTTTTAAAGGGAATCCTATGATCCTTTTAACATGACTTCTCTGATTAATTACCTTGCAAATCTAGTTCAAATGTAAATAGCTTGTAAGACAAGAATGTGCAGTCATTCCAGCAGTTAATATTGATAAATACAAGTAAAGTGTGGCTTGTAGAAGGGAATTGGAGATTTCAGTGGACCTGACATAATACATGTTTTGGCTCCTATGGCTGCCTACTTGAAACCCCAATAAATTGAAACAGCAACACTAATCAGTAGGTTAAGGGATGCTGCCTATTGAATCTCTGTTCTGTGAACAGTAGTGTAGAGCCTGTCCCCTAAATCAAGATATTTATTGATTGTTTGTGTGAATGGTGATCAGATTTCCCATGGAACTCCATGATATTAAAGGTCCTTTCCAACCTAAATGGTCATGTCACCTGTTAAATAACTGTTACAGGTAAAACTTAACATCATTGTCTGTGTTCTGATACATATGCTCAGATATGCAATGAAGATTGAAATAAAATCTCAAGATTTTTATTTCTAAATTGTTTTTATAACTATATTTATAATTTTACAGCACAGGAAATTTCGTACTTTTACCTTATTAGTGTACCTCTTAGCTGTAGGGTCAGAGTCCAGCTGTTACATCACAGTTAGAATCAAAGGTAAATATTGTTAAATATGGGTGGGCTGTTGTCTGACTAACTTTGATTATAAAATCAAGGAGCTGGGTGGTACAGATCATGCATTTTAATTAGAGCTGAGGGATTTCTTGCCACTTAAATGCAGAAAATCAGAATATCTTTAAGATTTTATTCTTTGGAAGTGCTTATGTATGTTTCCTGAAACTTTAATACTTTGTTCCTTTGTAGTCATGAGACACAGACAACTTGTTGGGATCATCCTAAAATGACTGATCTCTTCCAGTCCTTAGGTGAGTGCGTTCATTAAAACATTGTCATTTTTATTCCATGAATAAAATCTGCATTTGGATACTGACCATGTTTGAGTTCTCATGACCTGAGTGTAACAGCATTTCCCACTTTGTGATGAGACACGCTTTGCCCAAAACCTACTGCCTTGGTCACTGTATTATATTTTGGCAATATTAAGTCTGAACCATATACTCTGACTGTATGCTTCAGTGCAGTACCTTGGGTTTTTTTCTTTTAACTTCACAAGGAATTGTGCAATGATACAGGCTCTCTGTATGTTGAAACCAGAGTGCTGGTCTGCAAGGAACTAATTTTGGAAATAAAATAGAGCAGCTATCTTTTCAGTAAAAGCTAAACTCTATTATGGTACAACTAGTTCAACATGCCCCGATAGCATCAACATTTACTATGAAATCTCCAATTCTAAGGAGAGGAAGGGCAAAAATACTGTTAAGTAATGGAAAAAATGTTACTGTACCAATCGGTTTCTAAAACAGCTTACAGCTATGTGACTGTCTCTTTTAAAGCACAGTTTGCAGTCATGGCATATAAATTAGAGCTTAAGCGATTTTTTCTGTTACTGTGACATTTGCTGCCCTCTGTTTCTTGTATGTTATCTGATGGAGTTGTAAATTATTTGAGAAACTTACTGTATTTGAGCACTTGTCTGGGAACTATGTACCGTGCATAATACGTACATGAAACTCTCCTGTATATTGTACATGTATTTGTATTACATGTGCCAAGATAGTGTTGGCATTTCTGGAGGGCCATTCTCTTTAAAGTCCTGGACTGTCAGAGTCAGGAAGCTTTCCCTGAAGGTGAATTGGACTGAGGTCCTACCTTGTCAGGTTTTTTATTTTGTTCTGATATATGCTATTAATTCATTGCAGAGAAGAGGAGGGATATCAGACTTCTTCCAAAATATGAAGGTTTTTGTGTAAAGGGAAGTTATGAGCTGTACTTCTAGGGCCGCTCACGTTTCTGTTCTGCTGTTTCAGCTGACTTGAACAACGTGCGCTTCTCCGCCTACCGCACGGCCATCAAAATCCGCAGGCTGCAGAAAGCACTTTGCTGTGAGTTGGGCCTTGGAGGGAAATTGTTTCTCTGCAGTACTTGGGGGAGGGTCAGCTTCAGTCTAACATCATTAACGGTGGCCCAGAGTCATCCTTGACACACTGTCAACCAAAAAAATGGCAAGAATTGCCAACAGTAGGTGTCGTTATCGCAAATAAATTAATAAAAAAAGAGGCGCAGCAGGTAAGTTGAAATGGTAAACTCACTAAGAATCATTTGTATCTCAAATTTTGTTCTACAGGTAAATTTATTTACTTATAAATTTGTTTATTTATGTTGCAAGGTAATTAAAAAACATTTCCTGTTGTATCACAGCTATGGTTTAATTCAGCAGCATGTTGCGTGATTACCATGTACATTCAAAGTTTAGTAGCCTCAGAAGTGATAGATCAGGAGATCTTGTCCTGGTCTCTGGACTTGGGACTCCTCCAAGTCACACAGCAAAAGTACCACACTGGGGATCTGTGGTCTTTTTGAGTCTCCTGTGCAAAGCAAACTGAATTTTAAAAACTATGGAAAATGAAATACATAAGAACACATACTTAACAAAAAAAAAATGGTGAAGTAGAAAAAGGTGAGGTAAAAAAAAGGTGAAGTAGAAAAAAGCAAAAGGAAACTAGACAATTTTGGAAGGAGATGTGAGATGTGAATGTGAGTAAAGGCTGCAGATTTTAGACCTTTTGAAATGTCTTGGCAACAGATGGTAGAAAGATGTATGATATTACCAAAATTTCCTCTTACAAATTAGGAGTCCTTGGCATGGAAGGACTTTTCAGCCCTGAAGGGTGAGCAATACTGCAGGCTGAGTAGGAACACAAGAAGTGCAAAGTCCTCCTAGGGGTGCAAGCAGGAAAGTAGTTGCACAGAGGGATCCCTTCCCACCCTCCAGGTGGTTAGTTTTCTTTCCAACCTAGAAGACAGCAGTCTGATCTTAGCTGGCCTTCAGATATACATCATACTGAATGAAGCTGTGCCTGAGATGGCAGCTAGCTACTCCAGAAAGCTGGACTGTATCTGTGCACAGCACAGGCTCTTATCAGTACCTATTGCCAGTTCTTCATAAGATGTGGTGCCACCAAGGACTACAGCTTCATCTCCCAGCAAGACCAAAGAACATATGAGCTTTCTGCTTATCAGTGTGCAGGGTATAAAGTATTCATCAAAATGTACCTAAAAACAAAGAGCAAAGCAAGAGATCAGAAAGCAGAGTAAAATTCTCCTTGTGTGAGCTGCTCCTCAGGGAAGAGTGGGAAAAAACAGACTGCAAATGACAGATGCTAATCATGCTGCCTATTTCTGACAGACATAGAGCTTTTCTAGTGACCTGTATAGACTACATAGATAAAGCTTCATTTTTATTACTTCTAATAAGCTTTGAAGAAGGACATACTTTCTGCTCATGCTTTTACAGCAGAATATGTCAATTTCTGTAATAAATGCCAGGGTTAGCTCTCCTCATTCACAATTTCAGAAGTGCCCTCCTATTGTATCCAGTTTCAGGGGAGGGAGTTGGAAGGGAGGACAGAAAAAAACAGTAAGAAGTAAAGAGAACACTCCACTTTGAAAGAGCTAGGAGTAAAACTTTCACCTCTACAGGTCCAGTCTGCCTTATTATCTATGAAGCTGTTTGTTTACTCCATCTCTGTGCTTCATGGGAAGAGACAACAGCCAAAAAAAAATCTTTGTCTTTGTTATGCATGTGTAGTTAATAAAGAATTGGTTTTATTTTTAGGTGGAGAAAAATCTCTGTGCTACTACCATTCATTTTCTGGTCTAAACTACTTTAATCTTCCATTGTATTTCCTGTAATTTTAATTGCAGATGTGTTTTAAAGGTGTTTGGATGCAGAATGCTTCAGAAAGGCTTATGTGCTAAGGCAAAGAAAACATCAAAACAAATCACCAGAAATGGAGATCACTGTTAAATGTGACAAATTGATGTCACAGGCATGGTGTGTGTGTAATGTCAAAGGCATTTTTGGTGGGAACTCACAAGAGCACAGTTGGAGCTGGATGTTCCACTTGCAAGATCTACCTGATAGATCTTGACTTTGCAGTGTAAGTGCTTTACAGCAGATGCAGGACCAATTGCACTTTAGAAAGTTCATTTGAGAACTGTACTTTAGAAAACTTTGCTGATGCCCTATCTCTTCTTGGTAAGTGTCAAAAAACATCAGTTCTAGGGGAGCTGCTCCCATTTTCCTCATTCTCCTTTTAAAAGAGAAATTAGTGTTGGGTTTCTTTTTGTTTCGTTTTTTGACAGGTAGATTCCTGCAGAGATGTACATTTTCGTATATATACGTAGGTATTTTGCAGGAATCTAAGAAAGGTTGCAAGTTGGAAATAACAACTTAGCCTTTCTTAGCCTTTCTGTCTTGGATTACGTGGGGCAGATGTAGGGAGAATGCTTTCCCACTGTAGCAGAAGAATAGGGCCAGAGAGAGTATCCTGTGTTGCAGATGTACTGGGCAACTGTGTAGCACCAGGTCCTGATGATATTTTATTCTTGTGCAGCATTCTTTAGCTCATTTTCAAGAAATTATAACGCCCCACATACTGAAGTATAGTACTGAAAGGCAAAAAGGGAACAAAATCACCATGTATATTCAGAATTCTGTTGCTGAGTTCCTCTAGGTGACTTAAAATTTAAGAATGTTAATAGGAATATCAACCACACAAGGGGAAAGAATGGAACATTTAGACATCAGGGACTAGGGGAGCTGTGAGCACTTCGCTCTTTGAGGGAAGAGTGCAGTCTCTTTGCAGGAACTACTATCATTTGCAAGGTCTTTTTAATAAAAAACTCCACAGTAATGCCTGGCTGTTTTCCGTGGGGTTACAGCAGCCTCAAATTTGCCATAAGCAGCTGCATGTAGTTACTTGCTCCTGAGCCTGTCACTCACACCTGCTTTAACAGTGCTGAATGATATGATTTCTCTTTTTCTTTGGGAAGAAGAGAAAGGGAAGAAATGGGCCTTTTGCCCGTGAGTTGGTTAAAAGCAGGATTGGTCATTCAGCATGTTTAAGCAGATGCAGAATGGTACTGCAAAAATGCACTGAAACCTGTGTAGGCATCATGCCAGAAATGGGATGACAGGATAACTGCCTATCCCAAATTTTATTCAGCCAGGTATAAGCGCTGAAGTAAGCAGGAATGGAAGTAATTTCCTCTGGTTGTTCTCCATGGATAGTGCCATCCAAAAGTGTAAGTTTACCTTTATTTGCTTTAGACTTCCTGCTTTTTTTTAATACAAAAATACTGGAAGTACCTCTCCCAGGTCCTTCTGGAATGCTCAGGTAGAAATGTGAATGAGAGGTCTTAATGCCAGCAGATCAAGATACGGAGTTAGCAAGATTAGTGTCTGTTGAATTGCTTCTTTTCAGTGCAAGGATGGTAATGTTATGCCAAACCCAAAGGCTGCAACTTCCTGGCATTCCAAAGCTTTCTGAATATTCACAAGCTTTAAAAAGGGCAGGTTTTGTGTGCTGTCAGTCTGTTTTATGAAGGTAATTACCTGCTTTTAGCCAGCCATTAAGTACCTTACAGAAACAGGTTGCAAAATAACCAGAAAACATAAAAACCCCAGACAAACAAACAAAAAACTCCCGCAACTCAAACGTAAAATAAAAGCTAATACGAAAACAAAGCCAGCAAACTGGTTGCATTAATTTTTACGGGGTTTTCTTTGTCATTAAGGTTTCTGAAGTCAGGAAGGGTAAGTGTGAAAAGGGAAAGGTGGCCATCCCTTAAGTTCAGTATGTATGTCATGGGGATAGCAGGTTACCCTCACTTGGCTTCACTCCACTCTCTCCACATCTCAAAAATTAGTCAGGGTTACACTGTGAACTGTTTGTGGGTTCATGTTGGGTTTAGGTATGCCTGTGAGCCTTTTGCAGTGTATCGCATCCTTTATAGCTATTGTAGAAGATTATGCTGCAGTGAGTGTATTGCCAAACGCTACGGCTACCTCAGGTCAAACTAGTGGCAAGGTGTTTTGCTGCAATTACCAGTCTGCCTCTTTGATAAATACATGGCTGGCATTTGTTTGCAAGCCCAAGAGAAGGGCTTAAAATATCCCCAAACAAACAAGAAAGAAAATGAAAAACAAACAAATATAAACCCAAATCTGATGCTGTGAGGTGAGAACGAATGTACCAATTTTAGTGCAGGAGAGGAAAGGCAAGGGCTGTGAGGTACTGTTTCTCACTTTGCAAAAATGTGAGGAAGGGTAGATAGGGGGAAAGGGAATGCAACCTTCTTTTGGTAGATGATCACTGAGTTCTTGACAGAGTTGCTTGTAGTGGTTAATGTTATCTTGCTCTTGCTTCTTTTTCTGTTGTATTTGCTTCCCAGCCCAGATAGAATTCTCCAGTCTGCACAGGCTGAAAAACTGGGCTACTTATTTAACATTGTTATTCTCCCCTCTGCTCTTGTGAGATCCCACCTAGGATAATGCATCCAGATCTGGGGTGCTTAGCACAGGAAAGATGTAGATCTGTTGGAGGAGGTCAAGAGGCAAGCAGTGAGGATGGCTGGGGGATGGAGCACCTCCTATGAGGAAAGGCTGAGAGAGCTGAGGTTGTTCATCCTGGAGAAGAGAAGGCTCCAGGGAGACCTTAGAGCAGCCTTTCAGTGCCTAAGGGAGGCTTATATAAAATTGGGAGAGTAACTTTTTTAAAAGGACAGATTGTGATAGGGCAAGGAGAAACAGTTCTAAACTGAAGGAGGAGACATTTAGATTAGGTATTAGGAAGAAATTACTTACTGTGAGGATGGTGAGACACTGGCACAGGTTGCCTACAGGTTGCTCCATCCCTGGTAGTGTTCAAAGCCGGGCTGGATGGGGCTTTGGGCAGCCTGGTCTAGTGGGAGGTGTTCCTGCCATGGCAAGTTTCTAGGTTGGAACTAGAAAATCTTTAAGGTCTCTTCCAACAAAAATAATTTTCTTATTCTATGATTCATTGTGATGATTGGTGAAGAGCAGTTCACAACATGTCAGAGATTGTCATGTGGATTTTTTTTTTTTCATTTGAGAGATGACATTTATAGTACAAATGTGTTACTGACTCCTCACAAACAGCTCAGTATGAACTTTTAATATACTCCAACTGCACGTTATGTATATTGTAGCAAGCATACTAATACATTGCAATTATATTTTTAACTTAAAGTCCTTGTTTCTGTAAAAAAAAAGTCACTGAAGTTTATACCATTTACTTTTCATCTTTTTCACTTTTGCAAAAGAAGGTAGAAGAGCTCATTGATGGCCTTTTCACCATGCAAACCCCAGATTTTCACAATCACATTTGAATTGTTTTGACAGCAAGATCCTTTTTTCCACTTTTAAAATATCCATTGCATCACCAACTGCTTATAGAAAGAATTCTGTAATAAAAGAGATAAAAATGTTTCAAGAAAGCATAGCATTTAGTGTTCTGGAAATCTACAATAAATAATCTCCCTGCCTTCTTTTAAGCCCTAATTTAGCAACTGCTATTCAGTTAATCATGCCTTTAGGAAAGAATTCTTACCTAAGAATTTGCTTTGCTTTACAGTGATCAAAAGTGATAGTCATTTTACAGGATTCTGCTTTACGGTAAATATGAAGAATCCTGTAAAGCCTCATGAATTCCGTGTGTGCATCTAAAGTCAGGATCCTCTAATTACACAGGCTACTTTAGCAGCTATTTTAATGTTGTTCTGGGCTGTGCAGTGTCATTATAAGGTTTGTATTCTAGGGTTTTTTTAAATAAATAGTGCCCAAATGCTGTCGACTTGTCACAAAGAATGGTTTTTCACTATAACGTTACTCAATTAAAGCTACTGGGCTAGTTGTTTGCAGTGTTTGCTATAATTTGCACATAATTATTGTCAACATGTATTCACAATTTTATTTTTTTTTAATCCCATTATTTTTTAAAATCTATTATTAGTGGACCTGTTGGACCTGAACACGACAAGTGAAGTTTTCAAACAGCACAAGTTGAGTCAAAATGATCAGCTAATTGGTGTCCAGGATGTGATCAGCTGTCTCACTACCATCTACAGTGGACTTGAAGAGAAACACAAAGATATGGTGAATGTTCCTCTCTGTGTAGACATGTGTCTTAACTGGCTACTCAACGTGTATGATAGGTAAGAAAAATGTGATTTTTGTCATAGTGTGTACCCCTAGGAATTATAAATTATAAAGCCTTAAAAAATTCTTTATTAAAAAGTTACCTTCTTATGTTTTTGGCTCCATAATGAAAGTGCAGTTGCGTGCAATAAGATGTTTCTTATGCTGTCCTGCTCAGCACTGAAGTAGCATTACACTCCTTTTATTCTACTACCAAAGAAACATTGAAAGGATTTCAAGAAATATGTATGTGAGTAGAGAGCTAGGACACTGCTTTAGCTGTGTTCCGACTGTCAGTATTCCAAGTCTAGCAGACTGATGGCCATGCAGATCAGACTCTATTTCTACCATAGGTGGGGATGGTGTTTTCATGTATTTTGCACTTAATTACTTGCACTCATAATCCTGGCTGAGCTCCCTGCCCTGAGTCCTCTATCAAATGGAGGTTGTTGTGATCTCAGCACTAAAGCCTGTCTGATTCTGAAGGGTCAGCAGTGTCCTAATTGTGGCTCCATTCCAGCACGTATAGCTCCTGCCATGGATCAGTCCTGAGGGCTGGTGTTACGTGGTACACCTGCCCTTGTCCTGGCAGCATGGCTGTATTTCCCAAGGACATTGAGTTTGCCTAAAGAATATTTTTGGATGCTTACAGTAAGAACTTGTGGGTTTATTTAAATACACATTTGCTGTTTCCAGAGAGAGAACTAAGTCTCAAAACCATGAAAACATCCACTCCAGTAGCCTTTGTGGTTTTGGCCAGTTCTTTCTGAGCAGTTTGTCAGTTCTTCCTTCTGCTGTAAATTGAACTCTGCCCTCTCTGCCCTGCCCTATGTCAGCCTGCATGACCTGCAAGCAATCTGCTTTTATTTAATTGTGCTTTTGAGTCATGAGTTTGTTGCTTATTTTTCATAGTGGCATTTACTATTCTTATCTCCCTTGTGTAGTAAAAACTGGAGCAAGTCTTGGTTTCCATCAGCTCCTCCATGCCCTAAAATGTGTCTCCTTACATTGCTTCAGCAAAGGCATTTCAGGACTCTTTCAGAGCTGACTAAAGACTTAATAGTGCAGTACAGGTTGGGGTTGCTTCAGTGTGTCTGATTAAATATGTGCTTTACTTCAGAGCTATAAACAAAATTACAGATCGGAATTTCTAAGCTCCATGAGGGTGGTTACAAAACTTATTTTCTTTCTCCCCATATGAAGTTGAAAAGAGCAAAAGTATTTCTTGAATATCGATAAAAATTCTTATACCTGGCTGTGCAAATGGGAGCTTTTATTTGTAGATGTAAGCATTATCTTCAATATGTTCACTCAGTGCCAAATTCTAACAGTTCATAGTTTCTTGCTTTTTTCCCCTCAGAGGATTATGTACCAGTTCTCCTATACTTCATGGATATTTTACTTTATTTTTGTTTTAGGGGAGAGGGAAGGAGGGAATAGAGTACATAGAACCATTTGTCATTTATCTGCTGGCTACTGGCATTCAAACATTGCTGTTAAATATTGTGACATTTCTGTTAGTCAGACTTCTCCCCATTACTGCTGAAAAATTAAAGGGTCCATCAAATATTGACTGAGATTGAGTTCTGTATTGTGAATAAACAAACACATCACTTGCAAATAGGGCAGTAGATCAAGTGAGTCGCTTGACTTAAATGTTACTGGCAATTTAGAATAATAGACATAGTAATGTCAGAAAATTTTTTGTAGTTCCTAGCTGGGTTTTGGTTTTTTTCAGACTGAACACAAATCTACTACATTTTCTTTAGCTTACTTTTGCATCTTAACTTCGGGTAGAAGTCAGTTATTTAATCTGTTCATATTTAAAATGCACTTGGTAAGCAGCAAACCTTTCTTTCAATAATGTTGCCAGTTTCTCCTATTTCCCCTTGACTATTATGTTGAAAAGTTAGTGTAGATAATTCTTCAAGTCCATTAAATACGTGAGTCTTTATTTAAACTTTGAAAAATTGAGGATGAAGGTTTACTGAGAGAAATTTGCATTTTATAGTGTGTTTCCCTGTTCCCCTTTCAATTTCAATCCGGGAAGAAAAAGAAAAGGTAGAAGACCAGGCAGCAATTCTAAGCTGGAATATTTGGTTTTGTTTTCTAAACTGGCCTTTACAAAAGAGCTAATTTGTGTCTTGGCATTTCCATTGTATATAGTGCATTGGTGTTATGTATATAAAATGTGTCAAGTTGTTAAACTGCCAACAAAAAGCATCTGTTAGTCACATGCTACTAACCTGAGATTTAATTACAGATTCGCAGATTAATGGCAAACTGAATAGTTCTCCAGACTTAACCTGCAGATGTCTTTGGCCCTTAAAATGAACCAATTTATTTTTAGAAAAGGTCTGTTGTGTTCTGTTTTTTTTTTTTTCTGACACATTAGGAATGATTCATTCTGAGCAGAGGAGAGAAACACTAAAATTACTCAGTGACTTTTACTACATCAAGGACTCAAAGGTTGTTCCAGACATCAACATCTGCCCTTATAAACATTTTCCAAACTTAACGTTCTTTGTTTTGGCTAGTCCAAATTTTTTTTTTATTTGTGAAATTAGAGATAAATATCTTGATATTTACAGTGAGAACTGTGAAGGAAGTTTTGCTCTGTAAAATATTTTGGCTAGGCCTGTGTTTAAAGCATCCAAAAGCAATAGCTGGTGTTTTTTCTTTTCAACTATATACTGTCACATTTGCTGAAATGTCTAGACATCATTTATATAAAAAGGACTGATAGCTTTCAGTACTAATGGAATAGCTTAACACCCCTTGAAATGAGTTGCTTCTATATGTGCTGATTCAGGGCGATGACTCATTTCAATTAGAATTACCCATAAAGAAACTGTTATGTGCACTGTTTAAATATTTTGCAATGTTTATCTGACTTCCTGTATTTCAACTTTTAAATTTTCTTAGTTTTGGGGTTTTTTTTATGCTAGGATACTTTTGATAATGCCTTCTTTTAAATTGAATTTCTTTGGTACGTTACTCTGAGAAGGGTATCTGTGGTATCTATGCTGACATTTTCCATATGATCAAAGCTGTCTTCATGCTCATTCTCTGCAGCCCAATCTTCCCCTGAAGAATCACAACTTTGTTTTCACTGCACTCATACACCTGGCAGATTCTAACACCAGCCTGAATTAATATCCCAGGCCTTATCAGCGTGTCCATTTCAGTAAAATCTGAACTTCTGAGGAATGAGGATGAGAGATACCTGCTCAGTCAGCCTTAACTTTATGCCCTGGTTTTGACATTTGCTGATGGACGTTTTCTGCATGCACTCCTCTTGCATCCCCTGTGTTTATGATTGCTGTTTGGATTCACAGAGCACTCAGTGGGAGCAGCTTAGCAGGCTGTGATAGCTGTAAGAAGGCTCTGGGAAGGTTCTGGCTCTCTGTAAAGCAGGAAAATGAGTTCTTTTGTCTGACTTGTCTGTGGGTGATCACGGGGAGGTGTCTGTGCTGACCTTCACTGATCTACCAGGCTGCCTGGTGTTGCTGGGCTGTGCAGATAACTGATAGCTGCAGTCCCTGCTGGTCCTCAGCTGCAGTGCCAGTGTTGTTTAAGCTTGAGAGTTCTTTGGCAAGAGAAGACTGAATGGCTCTGGGCTCATCTTCGTTCTCTAGTTTTCCTTGCTAGTACCTGATGGTTTTATGCTATTGTCCCTCTTCCCCTAGGGACATAGGGTTCCTCAAGGCTTCATGTTGTAATTCTGTTTTCCAAGATTCTTTATTGTGTATTCCTGGTTTCATTCACTTATATTTAGTTGCCTGTCTGACAACTTTTTTCTAATCTGACTAACTCCTGTATACAGCTGTGCCTATCACTGGTTGTCCCTTTGGCAGTCACATGCTTGGATAACATGCTTATATATATTATGTCTGTGTCATCACAATGCTACAGAATATTTGCATACCATTGTTGGTGAACAGTATTTTTTACACTTACATTCAACAATTTAGTATTAATTCTATCCTGATTAGTACATTTATAATTTACAGGTTTCACAGGCCTCTGTTTTGACTATGGTATAGACTGTGTTTGCCTGTCAAGAAGTTTTGGATCCTAACTCTGTGTTAGGAAGTTATTTAGAGAAAGGAATAGATTCAGGCTCCCCTTCATCAGATCAGAGCAAAAAAATATCTGAGCTGTTTAAAGTGGCCTTATCAATTGATTTTGTAATGATAAGCATGCTTGTATTGCTATATTGTCTGAATAGTGTGCTGACATTTGTGGCAAATATGACCCATAAATTTTTATGAATTCAGAAATTAAAAAGTTTCTGGAATCTTCCCACTATGAGGTTTTGTACACGTAGGACAATTAGATGATTATGCTGCCATTCAGAAGCACCTTGCACAACAGGCTTGTGGCAAAGTAGCCTAATAGTGGCAAAGTAGCCTAATAGTCTCCCAACAGGTTAAGGGAGGTGATCCTGCACTTCTACTCATCATGGGTGAGACACATCTGGAGTCCTGGGTCCAGTTCTGGGCTCCTTCAGGAAGAAAGTAACATGGATAAATTGGCATGAGTCCAGTGAAGTACCATGAAGACAATTAAGGACTTGGAGTAACTGATGTATCAGTAGAGGCTGAGGGAGGAAAAGTTTCAGGGGGATCTTATCAATATGCATAAATACCCAATGGGAGCAGAAGAGAAGATGGAGCCAGGCTGTTTTCAGTGGTTTGCAGTGACAGGACAAGACACAGCAGGCACAACTTGGAACACAGGAAATTTTGCTTAAGCATATGAGAAGATGTTTTTAGTGTAAGAGTGATCAAACAGTGCCACAGGTTACTCAGAAAAGCTCTTCAGTCTCCATCCTTGAAGATACTGAAGTGACTGGATATGATCCAGGGAAACCTGTTCTACCTGACTGAGCAGGGGCATTGTTATCTGGAGGCCCCTCCTGATCTCAGTGGTTTTGTGGCCACTAAGATGGGAAAACCTTAAATCATTGGCCTGGAAATGTCAGGACCACAATGTCTATGGGTTTGTGGGGAGAGAGGGACCGTGTGTGGTATTTGGTTTTGGTGTGCTGGGTTTTTTTATTGTATATAAGACATTACAGTGCTAATATTTATCTGTTTCCAAGAAAGAGACTAGGGGTGAATATGTTACTCTTTTGAAAAATGTAATACTGCCGGTTTTGTAATTATTTAGGTAATTTATTGAGAAAATGCTCTTTGTGTGAAGGAAGTTTTTCAAAGATCATGCAGAAATCTCCTGGAATCAGGAGAAGCTTGAAGCCTTGAGATTTGTGTCTTGGTCTTTTAGCTGCAAAGTCTCACTTTGTCTTTAATAAACAAATGATGTGGTCAGTCCTGAGTTAAACTAAACCCAAATGAATGTTCACTTTTTTTCTGATGACTATAAATTTAAAGCACAAACAACCATACACAGGAAGGAATAGGAAAATAACTTTATCAGGGTGTAAAATGAGCCACTTAGATGGCAAGGTATGCCAGAATGATGTAGTGTCTGTGATTGAAAGAGGTAATTTGAAGCTAAGCTTGAATATATAAAAAGGTGGCACTTTTATAACATTCTGGAAAATTGGGTCCTGATTTTCCAACTAGGCAGTTAAAGTAATAGATGTTTTTGATTAATTTGGCAATAATTTCTCTGTACCTCTGTTCTGTTTTATGAAATGAAGATACTGCTGTCTAGTGTTACTAGATTAGATGATGTTGTGAAGACAAATGCATTAATATTTGTAAGTTGCTTAACTAATCTATCAAGAACCCAGGAGTAAATGAATAATTTTGTATTCAGCACAACACTTGTGAAGTAAATCAGACAGCAGACCATATGCTTAATGGATAGGATAGAAAGAGATATGTAACAACCACTTCAGAAGTAATTAAAGTGTATATAACTTCTGTGTGGCAGAAAGAACCAAAGTAAGGTTTCAGGTGATAATTAATTTAGTGTTATCTCACTTGTTGGTGAAAGACTCAGTTAACCTTATGTGTGTAATATATAGAGTTTAACTATTTTTTAGATTTTTTTTTTTGCCACATCTCATATAAAGACAAATTGTGTCATGTTTTTTTCATGTTTGAAAGAAGAAAGAATTTTAAAGAATATGTTTCTGCATTGATCTTCTGAACTTCAAAATTGTCCTTTTCCCTGTATGCTGACTTTGTTGTTTTAGTATCTTTTTGAACAGCATTTGCCCTGCAGCTTAACATTACTTGCTTTGGTACCTACTTGTCTGTTCTCAAGTTGCTTTTCAGGTTTGGAGATACTTTTTGTCATGCTGGACAAGATGAACTTGAAGTGACATTGCTTAAAAAGAATGACAGCTCCAAATCATTGAATTAGTGCATGTGATTGCCTCTTTATGTCCCAAAATTGTGTATGTCAGAATATTTTAAACATAAAACAAAACAAAAAAAAAAAGGAAAAAGGGATTTAGTTACTGTGATGTCAAAACTTGGTTTCATCTTACAGTCCTTGTGTTTCGCACTGAGTAATAGGCCTTCCTGCTGTGTGCTCATGTATTTTTTTTCCTGTGTGTATCACATTAATAAATTACTTTCAGAACTTTGCAGAGCTAAATGTCTGTTCTTTTGTAGTAATATAAACTGTTTTCACATGTAAAACCACTTGGAAGGCAAGCTGAGCTTTTATAAGGGAAGAATTCTTAATGTGATTTTTAGTGTTAATGGTTTTTTTGAGATCTGAAGTATGTTTGAAATATAGCTCTCCAATGTCTTTATATTATACAATAGACTTGAGTTGGAATAAAATAAAACTGTATTAAATTGTCTTGTCTTTATAATTTCAGTGGCCGAACTGGAAAAATTCGAGTGCAGTCCCTGAAAATTGGCTTGATGTCTCTTTCTAAAGGCCTTCTGGAAGAGAAGTACAGATGTAAGGAAGAATTTCTTTTACAAAATACTTTATGTAATTAAGTCATGTACAATGACAAAGCACCTAGCAAAATTTGTAGTAAAACATTTCTCATGCCTGGTGCAAGGTAGTTTTCTTTTGAGTAAGTAAAAGAGAATTCTTTTCATTATCATCAGTGGCAATGGTTAAAGTATGATTTATATCTTGACTGGAAAGTATTGCTGTCCATTCTGAATCGTCAGAAGTCACAGTACTGCAGTCCCCAAAAGAAAAGGAGAATATAGCTTTGTGGAAGATAGAGAAGTATTATATTTGATTATGTTCTCTCTTGTATGTGTATATGTTTTGTTTAGGGAAAAAGCAAGTTAGTGCTGGTTGCATCCGATTGATGTGGCTGATAAAGCAAAGAAATACATCAAAATCCTGCCATTGTATTTAGTGGTCTATCTGAACTCTAAAAATGGCTTTCCAGTATATGTGCTTTCTGCCAGAATTGCACAATGAAAGTCTAAAATACGTTGATTTTAATAATCTCATAAGCTTGAGAAATACTGAATAATATAAATATTTCACAAAAATAAATGTAGGACCAGAAGAGAATTGAGTAACACTGTGGAAAGAAAGCCCTGACAAATACAGAAAAGAAGATTAGGCACTATATAGAGCATTCTAGATGATGCACATTTACATATTATGAACATAATCTTAAATTTGCTGTTCTTTACAGTAGTTTCTTGACATATTTTGGAAACTCATGAAAAAAATTATAGAGAGACTGAATTTGCTCCATGTACCTTTGGAGCTCTGCAAAAACCTTTCTGCTTTCCTAAAGAGCATTTGTAAGCAATCTTGTAAACTTAGTTATTAATATTGAACAAAAGTAGACATGTTTTATGCATTGGGACATATTTTGACATCTGAATGACATACTGAGACTTTGGGGTGTTTAGTTTCCTTCTGTCATTGACATGTGTGTGAAGTATATGTGAAGTATTCCATAACTAAAAAAGAGCTTGACGGACATACCTTTGCTCCATAATGACAATTCAGAAGGTAATCTGTTGTTCTGTGTGAAATAAAAAGCTTTCATAAAGTGTAGGAGTTAGGTTTCAGAGTTTCTTTAAAGCCGTCTTTTCCTACGGTTCTCAGTTTATCACCCACAGCCTGAGAATACTCCCATTAAATTGCTATTGGTAATACATTAGTTTACAGTTGCCAAATACAGGCACTGAAGCAGAATAAGGAAATTATTAGGTCAGCTTCATATTTGTGTTGTTTTGTGTTTAGTAATAAAATTAAAATGGCAGCTGATGATGGGTACAGATTTTGCATAATTTATGTCAACAAGATGGACTTTTACTCTGAAGGATGCTGTGAGAAGTCCTAAAAAATTAGTAGAGAATAAGTCTCAGAAAACTTTTGTACCTAGTGATTGTAACTTCAACCTGAAATACATCTGAAATTAAAGCAGTTGCTCTCATTCTTGAAGTACAGAATTAATAGTTAGATAATGCATCCTTTTTGTTGTAACTTCAGCTCTGATCAATGTGCCAGGCTTTGATATCTTTGTTAGCTTTATTGTCCTTATGAACTTAAAATTGTCACAGAAGAGCCCTTCAATCCAAAAGAAATTTTGCTAACAAAGGAAGTGTGTCAGGTACTGTTCTTGGTTTGCAGTGACTTTGAAGTCGGTGTTTTGGGGTCCTCTGGCACGAGCTGTTGCAGACTCATCTTTGATATGAGCTCTTTTGGTTCTTTTGATTTTTGTCATACCCTACTAATCATCTCTTGTTGAGAGAAATTTTATCGCATCTACTGAGTTTTCAGTCCTTGAGTGAAAATTGTAATGGAATTCCTGAGTATTTTCAAGAAAGTCAGTCACTTGGAAAAAAAACCAGGACCTTCAAACATGGGATGCTTAATACTAATTACCTGCTTTATTGTTTTTCCCTTTCTTGAACCAACTCCTGGCATTTGCTTCTCCTTCTGGCTGTTTCTTCCAAGCATTTCTGAGGTGATAGCAGTCGCAGGCTGCTCTGAGAGTGACAGCCATTGGATGGTTGTGGTTAGAGCCCTCAGCACAGCACACAGACTGTGCCAAAAATCTGCTAGCCTTGGAGAGGCAAACTCTTCGTAGAGTAGTTGGTGGTAAAATAAGCAAAATTTCTGTTTTAAAAACTTTTGGCTGAACCCTTAATTATTTTGTAAAACTCGACCTGAATGTTTGCTGCTGAAGTGTTCAGCCTTCCTAGAGACTGTATGTTCATTTCCAGTATAGGTAAGATCTTTTCATTTGACACGTTTTTAAAATATGTTTTGACAGAGAAATTTTTGTGGTTTTTTTTAAATTTAATTAAGCTTCTTTTTAAGATTCTAGACTTTAAGGTTGATATGAGAATGGATCTTTAATTAAAAAAGTCTCATTAATTCTTGTCTCTATTGACAAGGAGGGTCACTTGTGAGCTACAGAAGAATGCATTTGTGTGTACTTCACTCTACACTTGTTTCTAATACCCAAAGCCCAAACTGGCAGCAGAAACAGAGAAAAACCCATATGGAGTTGTTTAGTTTTTTAGTGTAGCTTTTGGGTCTTATAATTTAATGTGTAAAATGGTTTTGATTTGAGATGAAAAAGAAGGGCTACTTAATAAATCTCACCTTCTAAGCAGTTCTGTTTTCAAGTGATGTGCAAGATCCTTGGAATTTGGTGGGGTGTTTTTTTTTACTGTTATGTTTATGTAGTAAATTTTCAAATAATTCGGAACTAACTTTAAACAAAAAGAAAAACTTAGAATGTGCATTCTGTTTGTGACAATGCAACATAAAATGTGGGTTGTGGACATCTTTCTACAAACTAGCTTATTATCCTTTTGATAGGAATTCAATAAACTTTTCAATATTTTCAAGTATCCCTTTATCAACCATTAAGTAAATTTTTTTCAGGTTGTCCAGCTAAGTTAGAGAATCCCACTGGCTGTAATCCTCAAAATACTAGTGTGAGATTGAATTTATTTAACTGATGTCTCTTTTCCTGGTTTCTGGTTTTTCCATACAACTCAGATCTGAATAATCTTATCTCTACTTCCTCAGTTATTCTTCTTGTACTTTGGTAGAGTTCCCTATACAGTTTAACCTTTATGTCAATGTATTTTGTGTTGAAACTCCTTTAGTGTGTATGTACATGTAAACAAATTTCATTTAAAAGAGGCTTTTGAGGATTTTTGTGGCTTTTGAGATTGCTGGTGTGTGATATATGGAGTCTCTTTCCCACTGGTGGTGATTAGGGTGCCTGGGTGCTCCCTGTCAGAGCTAAAACAAGCTGTCCTCCATCTCTCATTTGAGAGATGTTCTTACCATGCCTCCTTTCCCAGGGAATGGGTTTCCTCCTTTGCTCATGGGTTATTTGGAGTAGGTAGGCCAGATAACAAGAGCATTCTCATTTTCCATGCCTTCAGTTTTGGAGCTTCTCCTCCTCTGTGCCACATTGAAGGCATTGAGGGGTTTGGGAAAAGAGGGTGCCATCCATGAACTCCTTGCACCTGGACGGTCTTTGGTTGTGGCACAGCTGCCAATGTTAAGAAACAAATTATTTGGAGGAGTTTGAGCTCTTCAGAGGCATTTGCTGTTTTCCTCTTAGCTAATCACTGTTCCATCTCCTGTCACATATTTTTCCTCTATTTACCAGCTCCACAGTCAACTGTAGTTTTAGGGCTTAGGAAATGACTGCCTCCCAGCTCCAGCAGCTAATGAATTATTCTTCTTTAATGGTCTGTTTTCACTGCAGACTGGTGCAAACTGAAAGAATAAGACAATTTTTTTCTTTTTTTTCCTTTTAATATACTATCAGTTTTTTTAAAACTGACTCTTAGAAATTGAAAAACTGTTCCATCCTCAGTGGAAGAAGATAGCCAGGATCTGGGATTGCCAAGAGGAGCCTGCAGCTGGGCAGCACTGATTCTGTCCCCTAATTTTGTCTGTCTTGGTTTTTTTTTTTGGCAACACTGAATGGGAAGATGCTGTAGCTGCTGTTTGACTAGGCAAAAAAGGGTGAGAAAAATACAATAAAATCTGAAAGTTCAGTCGTCTGGATTTTTTTTTGGTGAAGATCCTTTCTTCTGCTTCTACCTCCTTTGAGAAGAAAAATCTGTGCCCAGACTGTCTGAAGCACACTGACAAAGCTTGCCAATTGCTCCAAATGAAGGGCAAAATGATTTAGACCGTGTAATAAGAGTTACTCATGAGTGTTTCTGAACAAAGGTTGTCTTTTTCTTGGTCAGAAGTGCAGTCAGACTGAATTTTCAAATTACATTTATTCTAATTTATTGGTGGTTGTTCTGATGGGAAACATGAAAAAGGAAGGGCATAATATAGATGGATTCTTTTTCTTTTAAGATTACTTGGGGCTTTAATCCAAGCCAGCCATTGAGTGCAAAAGGACATGGTAAAAACCGGCTGGAATGAACGTAATAATTTCATTCTGCTTCTTCTGTAATTTGTACAAATCACAGAACTAAAAAATATTTCTTAGATAAACTCAGCATTTAAGATGTTTTCAGGAAAGATTAATCTCTTGACTGAGTGCTAATGTACACAGCTACAGAGTTCATAAATCAAAATTGTTGGCAGAAGCATTAACATTTTTAGCTGAGCATTTTAACAATTAAAATTGTCCCATCAAAGAAACATGCTAAGAAAGCACATGAGAAATAACAACTGTACTGCTGACAGGCCTTTTAACTCAGTGCTTTACTGTGAGTGTAGGTACAAACACTATCTTCCTTCCCAGTGCTCGTATCTGGAAAAATTTTCTTGATCCCTTTCAGCATCAATTTTTTCTGTTGTTGCAGTCATCCTGGTTCATCCGTTTACACTGCAGGGCTTGACACCTGCCTTAGGAAAATGGAATCAGTGGAGGAAAAGTACATGGAAGCAGACATGGTTATCCAGGAAGAAAATGTGATTATTGTTTAACTCAGGTTGTCTTTCTGGCTGCTGTTCTTGCTTTAAGCTATTCCACATGGCCAGTTGTGACTTGTGGTAACTTTCAGTCTCAGTTCAGAGTAATTGTACTTCTGTCCCCAACCAACTGAAGCATGACATAGTTTTTTAACATAAGATGTAGATATCTGAAATATTATTTCATTCTTCATGGGGTCATAGAATAATTTGGTTTGGAAGGGGCTTTAAAAGGTTATCTAGACCAACTACCTTGCAATGAGCAGGGTCATCTTCAGCTGGATCGGATTGCTCAGAGCCATGTCCAATCTGGCTTTGAATGTTTCCAGGGATAGAACATCTACCACCTCTCTGGGCAACTTGTTCTACTGTTTTGGTACCCTCATTGTAAAAAATTTGATTCTTAATAACTAATCTAAATCTACCTTTTTAGTTTTAGAACTATTACTGTTTGTCCTATTGCAACAGGCCCTGTTAAAAGCGGTGTTCCCAGCTTTCTTATAAGGCCCCTTTGAGTACCGAAAGGCCACAATAAGGTCTCCCTGGAGTCTTGAGATTTAAGAATCCTAACTCTCTCAGCCTTTCTTCACAGTGATGGAACATCTCTCCTATGATGAGTTCTTTAGCCTTTTTTCTGGATCTGCTCTAACAGCTCCATGTCTTTCCTGTGCTGGGGACCCTAGAACTGGACTCTACATGGGGTCTCACAAGAGCAGAGTGTGCAGAATCACTCCCCTCAATCTGCTGGCCGTACTGCTTCTGATGCAGCCCAGGATATGGTTGGTTTCTGGGCTGTCCAGCTTTTCATCTACCAGCACCTCCAAGTCCTTCTCCACAGGGCTGCCCTCAGTCCCTTTGTCCCCCAGGCTGAACTGATACTGGGGTTGCCCTGACCCAGGTGCAGCACCTTGCACTTGGCCTTGTTGAACCCCATGAGGTTCCCAGGTTGTCCAGGTGTGGATGGCATCCCATTCTCCAGGTATGTCAGCCACACCACTTGGCTTAGTGTCACTTGCAAACCTGCTGAGGGTGCACTTGATCCCTTCATCTGTTTTATTAATGAAAATATTAAATAACACTTGTCCCAGTACGGGCCCTTCAGGGACATCACTCTTCACTCATTGTTGTCCATCGGGACTCTGAGCTGTTGGTCACTACCCTGTTGTTGGCCACATCCAACCAATTCCTTATCCACCTAACAGTCCACCAATGGAACCCATCTCTCGAATTTAGAGTCAAGGATGTTGTGGGGGACTGTGTCAAAAGCCATATAGAAGTCCAGAGTGGCGACATCTATAGTCATGCTCCTGTCCAATAATGTAGTCACTCTATCTTGGAGGGTCATTAGGTATGTCAGGCAGGAATTTTTGCTGGTGAAGCTGTGCTTTCTCAAATTACCTTCTTGTCCACTATGTGCCATAAGAAGCCATTTAGCTTCATTTATTTGGCCTTATTTTTCTCATTTGAATGGTTATGAATCAAGATTAGATGAAGACAAACTCTTGTAAATGGGACAGTGACTATTTGTAATAATGACAATGACAATAGTACAGAAATTAAAAGCTCGAGCTGCAGCATTACTGAATGAAAGGAGGTGTACATGGAAATGGAATGAGATGGTGTCTTTTATTGATGTTGCAGACCTCTTCAAGGAGGTGGCAGGCCCTACAGAAATGTGTGACCAGAGGCAGCTGGGCCTTCTGCTTCACGATGCTATCCAGATCCCGCGACAGCTTGGGGAAGTGGCAGCCTTTGGTGGCAGTAACATTGAACCCAGTGTGCGCAGTTGCTTCCAGCAGGTAAGATAAAGACCTTAATGTGAAGAACAAAATAAAACCAAACTCTCTCTTAAGTTTACAGATTCACTTATACGTGCTGATGTAAAAAGAAGAGAGGAGTATAAAAAACATCTGCTGTGTTTTGAACAGAAATGAATATGCTCCTGCAAATAAGTATGGGAAATTCGTGTGAAAATGCAGCTGGGAAAGATGGTTTATGGTTTAGGAGAGGTTCAAACAGACTTTGTTTAGCCAAAAGAATATATAAATCTTCATGATTCTGACAGTGTTTGTGGCTCTAAAAGCTGTTGAAAAAATTTGTAGCAGCCAATTGTCCTGCTTTGCATTGTTCAAAGCAACCTGATACTGTGAGAACAATATGCTTTTTCCAGCTGGAATAAGGTATGATCTCAACAGAACAAGAAAATTATGTTGATAGTAACTTTTGACCTTGTGCATGAGGAAATTATTTAGCATTATGTTACTGACAAAAGACTTTGCAATTGCATGAAACTTCAAGCACAGTCTTTTTTATATTGCAAGCCTTTAGGCAGCAGATCAGAACATGGAATAAAGCTCTTGCAGCCTGCTGTGAAGCTCCACACTACATGCAGGGGGTTAATGAGGCTGCAAGGAGTGTCTGTCTGTTTAAAGAAGATGAGAATTAAAAACAGAATGTTGTAATGGAACACAACTAACTGACTTTTTCAAGGATGCCTAAGGCTCCAAATGTTTGCTAGTGATAGCCATATTGCTTCAGTGCCTTATTTATATGAAAGCAGCTGATTTGAGCATTGTCAGAAACTATATATGGATTAAAAATACACCTTTATATAATGGCTTATATAAAATTACTGACTTGGATATTTCTGATTTTATTGAATAGAGCATGGACAAACATTAAAGATTTTAGTGAACTTTCAGAGGATTTTCTTTTGCCATTCTTTCACAGATATTTCTGCATTTTTGTCTACATTTTTCTACATTTTGTTCTTTGAAAAATGCAGTTGTGCTGGCTTTTTTCCAGAATGATCAGATTCATTTCTGGACTCAGGCAATTAGGATTGGAAGAGTGTTTGTCCAGGTCATGAATAGTTTTATAGATACTTACGGAACTTAGTTTGACCAATTAACCATGTAAAGTTTCCCCTGATGTTTTAACATTGCTGCTTCAGACAATAAGGGATGGTGCTTGACTTATCTGTCACTGGCTTTGAGTGGTTAAGTCATACTGAAATAAATTTCATTTATTATTCACAGACTTTGTGTATGACAGAAGAATGACCTTTATGTCCCTCAAGGATCTACCCCATCTCCCATGCTATTCAATTATGGGTGGGGGGTACCAGCAAGACAGTATTTAAATATTTGATGTATTATTACAATTATAGTGATAATGAGGTTGCAATCCCTCATCTCACAGGAGTAGTTCAAGTTCAATCCCTGGTTAGGAGAACATAGAGAAAATGTGCAGCTGCATGTCAGTTATCTCAGCCCAGTGAAAATGTATTTTTTTGGTGATGAAGAAACTCGGACCATGAATAGGTTAAGAAGCTTTCCATCTTGTGTTACCATTTAAGAATAACTTTCATTTAAAGCTTTATTTTATTGCTTCAGAACAATATTGAGCTCAGAAATATTGAGCTCTTTTGTTATTGCTGACAAAGTTGATGAATACAATACCTTTGTAGCTAGGCTCCTCTGGTGGTTATAACTTAAAGAAAATGTGGAAGTGTGTTTGCTTGCTTCTTAAAACAATCATGTTAATACATTAGCTGTGATATATTCTTGCTGTGACTGGCTATAAATGGCAGATTCCTTTCTTGTTCTTTGCCTGTTTGTTTGTTTATTGTGTGTATGTGTTATGTTTAATGGGCTAACTAGAAAGAACACTCTGGGCTTAGAACACAAAAAATTGACGTGTCTTGGGGCAATCAGTACACACATGCAAACACTACTGACTTATAGCATTTTGTCATCAATCTTAGCTCAGAAGATAACCATGTCTTCAGTATGTCTGAACTGCAGAGTATGCTCACTTACTTTTCAAGTCCTTTCAGTTGAAAGACAGCTTTTCTTTACAGTCTGTTACTTCTGTACTATGTCCTCCATGTTTCTTACCATCTGTCCACTCTATCACAGCTGTTTAGTCTTCTAAAGGCTTACTGACTTAACTTGTTTTCTTTATATTCATTTTCATTGAGGTTATTTCTTATAGCCTGTAAATGGTTTTGGAATAAACGGTCATGGAAAGAATTCAGTCAGGTTTTTGGGGTCTTTTTTCCATAGAATTCTAAGGAAAATCTGCTTATGGGTGTCTATTGTTTTGTTTTGATGTTGTTTTTTTGGTTGGTTTTTTTTTTTTTTAATTTGGATGTGGGTTTTTTCTCTCCACAGAACAACAATAAGCCAGAAATAACTGTAAAGCAATTCATAGATTGGATGCGGTTAGAACCACAGTCTATGGTGTGGTTACCAGTTCTACACCGTGTGGCAGCTGCAGAAACAGCAAAACATCAGGCCAAGTGCAACATCTGTAAGGAGTGTCCAATTGTTGGATTTAGGTAAGAGGAGAAGTGTTAGAGGTGCAACATTTCTCTGAAAATATCCACATTTTTAAGACTTGCAACAAATGAAGTTTTTCCTGTCTCTTTTTCCACTGTTTTCCTTGTTTAAGATGGGATCTGTCACCCATGGTGAGGCCACAGTGTGGCCTGAGCCAGTGCAGCTCTGGCTCATGCAGTGCCATGGTTAGATACCCAGTGGTCCTGTGGCTGACAGAGGCACAGGGTGGGTTGTCATCAGATGGTTTTGGATTGGTGGATCCAAGAAATAGCAAATGAAGTATGAATGCACCCCCTGTGTTCTGTAAGCACAAGATAAAAGGATGTGATCTGTAAGAAAAAACATGGACTGTCTGTCTGCTCTCCTTCATAAGGCTTGGGAAATTAACTTATGCCAGGCAGTATAAAATACCCTTCAACATCAATCTTTCCTTCCTTAAACACTGATACCTTGCTGTGATGAGACTTGCAAAGTCCCTGTATATGTCCCTAGAGGGCATGAATTCTAAAAGAAAATGTTACATGGGGAATATTCTCCATGTTATTCTCCTAAACTGTAGTTGGTACCCTTAGTAAGTACTGCTATGACTAACATGCATTTGTAAATGGATTGCTGCAGTGTATAAAGTGATGCAACTCCCATCCCCAAAATGCGCAGTAGAGGCTAGAGGTAAGCATAACTGGCTTTTTCCTCTAGTGTGGTCATGGAGTCTAATGTATTCTCTAGGAAAATATAAAGCAGTGAATCATGTAAGTGCGTCTAAGATTTTTCTTTAGTTATTTAGGCGGATGAGGAATTTTTGTTCATCGTGCTTTCTGTTCTCCAACTTTCTGTTATTTTAGAGGATAATTATATGAATCCTGAGGTCAGATTCATCTTGTGTAGTTTCAGGAATGCTGGCTTTAGTCAATCTTATGGGATTGAGCTAGCAACTCTCTTTTTTGTTTTCATTATAAATGTAGGTATGTGAGTATTTGCAAAAGTAATAATCTGATCAAACTTTGTTGCCTGTGTTAAGAGGAGATTAAATTTTCTGTGTTCCTGTCTTTGTTATTGTTTGAGGAAGCATAGGGTGACAAAGCTCTGGCTCAGCTATGTTATAATTGTCTAAGTTGTACTATGTGTAGGAGGGCAGAGAGACAGAAAAGAGGACAAAGACCCATTTAGAATGGGTCATTTTAAATAATTTCTACAATGAAGCTAGAGATCTGCAACAGGAAAAGCATCTAGCATCTTAGCAGAAGGTAAATGTAGCCATTTAATGCACTGGCTCTGAGAAGAGATTATAAACAAGTTGGATCAGCATCTTTTAAAGTGAACTTTTACATTTATAGACATATTCTCTTGCAAAACAAAACATAAAACTCAACAGGGGAAAAATGTGGATGGGTACTGAAAACTGCTCTCAGGAAGCAATTTAATTTAAACTTTAACTATTCAATAGCTATTCAGTTTGGTTCAGTTAGCTCATTTTAGTTTCATACAAATGATATAACCTCATCCAGTCAGAACAACCATAGCATGGAAACAGTGGGTGCAATCTGGAACGGAACTGTTGATTTAGTCTAAGTAAATAAATCAATAAATCATGTTCCTGGTGATTACATTTAGTACAAGGGATACTGTAGAAGTTTGTTAGCCTATTTATACATACACTCTCTTAAAAATCTAAACTAAAAGTAAACAAATCACTGTATATTTTTAACTGAATTTTAAATTATTCTTACAATTAATGAATTCTTGCGAATTTAATTTTCTGAAATGTGTGTCGAGTTTCTGAGCTTCAAAATTATTTACAAACTTTTAATTTAACTGTTGAGTATAAAAACTGAAATAAACCAATCTGCTTTATATAAGTTTTTTTGAGATAACAAATTAATAGTACCTTTCATGGGGGCACTGGCACTGTGCCAGTGTCAATCCATGACAAACAGGAAAAGAAAAACTAAGCAATGTAGTTTAAAGTCAGTAAAAACTTTTAAATTATAAATTCTTCCCAGTCCATCAATGAAGCTGATGCTTGTAGGGCTTTCAGTATCAAAGCTGCTTGGACAGCAGGTGATTGACAATGGCTCTCTATATTGATATGGAGACAGGAACTTTTAAATACTCAGTGAGGTTTGTAGTGTAGGAAGGTTCTGTGGACTAAGAGGGCTGCAGGTTTCCTGTGTCCCCTGCAGCTGCTGCAGTGGCACTGCTGTCCCTGGGCCTGCAGCCGTGGTGAGTGTTGGCCGTGCTTTGGTTGTGCACACTCACACACTTCAAAGTTCTTGCTCAGCTAATCCCAGCAAACTCACTGTGTCCTTGTGTAGCTGCTGCGGAACAGCAGGTGACCGATTTCAGAGAGTAATTTGCTTTGTGAGGCTTAATTAGAAGTAAACCTCTAATCACTTTGTTTAATGTCCCCACAGGTACCGGAGCTTAAAACATTTCAACTATGATGTCTGTCAGAGCTGTTTCTTTTCTGGCCGCACGGCAAAGGGCCATAAATTGCATTATCCAATGGTGGAGTATTGTATACCTGTGAGTACCAGTCTGCTCAGTGTTTCTAATGAATAACAACCCAGATTTGAGGGCTAAATATTTTTTCATCATCTTTGTTGCCTAGCCAGGATTTCTTTCTCATATGTTTACTGCTGCTTGTCTTCCTACCTTTCTCTTTGGAAGGCATCAGGAACTTTTCGGGTTTTGCTGACTTTATGTAGGGAGTGTTTGGATTCTATAGAAATGGGCAGCAGTATCCACCTCTGAGAGAGCTTAAACCTCGCTTCTGATTGGTAAAACAAAGCTTGAATATTAAATGCAACTGCTGTTCTTGTATATTAACATACATACATGATAAGGGTAAGAACATGTCAGAGAAAAAGGACTTGCTTAACTGTTGCTGTACCAATGGCAAAGAATATTTCATATTCTAGTAATGCACATTAATATTTTTAGGGGGCTGTGTTTTTGGGTCCAGAATTTCCTTGCTTCATGAAAATGTGGCTAGAAATAGACTGTGTTTCATTCTGTTGTGTAATTGCTATTTACTGGGATATACAAAAGCCAATGTGCAGCTGGAAAAGAAAAACAAAGCAAAATTGATAATTTCTAACCAGAAGTGGTGTGAGATGTTTACCAGCAGTACCTGACAAAAATTAATTTTATAACACTAATGTAACACTATTTTCCTAATGATGTTTCAAACACAATTTTTTAAGGAGGTTCCTAGGAGTCATTCTTAACTGAAGGAGTGCCTGGGCTGCTACATGCAAGTAGCACTTCACACTTTTTTTATCAGATAGCTGTTTACAGTCAAGAATTTTACCTCAGAAATAAATTAATAGGCTAATTCATATGTGCTCTGTACAACAGTGGTGAAAGTTCTGCATGCTCAGAAAAATTCAGACCAGAATGTAACTGGAGCTGATTCAACAGAGCCAATTTTCAATAGTGTTACAAAATTCTTTGGGTTCTTCTAGTGGCAAAAAGTCATTGAGTTGTTTGACTTTCTTGCTGTAGTTATTGGACTTAATACCTGTGTTTTCCCTCTCTTTTTTTTTGTCTGGCTTGTCTTCTGTAATGAAATTCAAATTCTGTAATGTAATGGTTTTACTTCATTATGGTCAGGAAAAAATGAGTGATGTCAATGTATTTTAATTAATTCTATAATCAAATGTTAATATTTTATTGATAAATCTGCATGCCAGGGAATACTCTGAAGAACATTTTTAAAGTAGATTTGTTGTTTTTTCAGCCGGTTTTAATGTTTATTATATTTTATTACATGACTATTCTAACCTCAGGATTTGGAGGTCTATGTTTAGACATTAAAAATTCACTTTTTTTTTTTTCCTTTATAAATCTCATCTTTAGTGGAACAGAAATATTCTTTTTTATTGCCTATAATATGCAGGAAATTCAGAAATTGAGGTGTAAGGAGGGTTGAAACAGATAATGCTGTTGGTCTGCAGGATAAGATATCCTTCCTGTTGCGTTAGTCAAATACAAATTACATCTGGTATGGGGTATTGTACTTTCCCTAGAACATGATGGTATAATTCTGATGAATTTCAGGTTTTGTCTGAAGCAGCAGATTTGATATCCAAGATGAATTTTCAGCTCTGTTAAACAAGTCCACATTGTGTAACTGTGAGCCATCTCATTTACAAGTGAAGGCTGACAAACTGAAAAATATGTTCTGGAAATGACTGGAATCCTGTCTGTCCCTGGAAATAGGGATGGCTTACATTATAATGACAATTTCTGTTACTGCTGCAGAAAAAAATGTGGTTTTAAAGTAATATTAGGTGTAAAATAAGGTAACATAAGGCAAAAGTCCCTTCTTTCCATGAAATACAGGAGGAAGGAGGTGACTCCACTATGGGATAATAAGGGGAGTAAAATGACATTCTTGATTAGAGTGAAGGAAGGAAGGCCAGTGTAAAAAGGGGGAAAGGAAGGAACTTGGGAAAGTTTTAAGTAGAGCAGAAGAAAAGAAATGACATATAATTCAGGTGATGCATAAAATTGGAGGTCCAGCAGTGACCCTGGTTAACTTGGAAGTGTAATATGAGAGCTGGAATTTTATTTGGGTCCTGATGTAAGTGCACTCTGCTACCTCCATTTCTGTAAAAAGAAATGACCCATTATATGAACAGACCTAGATGCCTATTAGACTTCCATAATCAGTACCCACATGCAAACTATTTTAACTAGCCTTATCCGGTCTAGGTCTGGAATACAGAAATGATTTCATGAAAAGAATCCTGTATTATTTGTTCTTACTATTTGTAATAATGTGCTGTGGTTGGTATACTAATTTGTTGCTAAACCTCTCTACATATTGAACTCATTAAATGCAATGCAGTAGTCAAGAATTGCAAAATTTTTTACAGTTAGTAGAATAGCTTATATGTTTAAACGGAATAATGCCTGAAAAATAACACAGACCTGGGTCTGTGAAATAAAATAAAAGCACCAAAGGCCACTGAATTGTTCTTTAGAATCCATTATATTACAGTACAAATGGCTTGAAGAGGAAGGGTGCATCCGCTCTGCCTTTTCAACTAAATTCAAAGGCTGTTGATGTTAAAATGTTGCTTTCTTGGCCAGTGTTGAAAACCAGAGTACAAATGCATGTACTCTTCAAACTGCATTAATAAAATCTAGCTTCACTTGCTTACTGCTAATGCATATTAATACATTTTTATCAAGAATACTAGCAATAAATAGGTAAAAAAAAAAAAAAGCCTCCATTACTTGAGCTGACATTTAGAACTGGAGCTTAGTCACAGATGGATGGAAGGCCATTTAATTGTCTTCAGGTGAATGGTTCAGTGCAGGCTATAAAGGGATTTCTCAGAAGCACAGTAAGTTCTTATCAAATTTAAAATAATTTGGAGAATGGGTTAAGGAATATGTTCTCCATTGTAATGACTTTTGTGATATTTGCTTTAGGTAAGAATTGCTTCATAATTTCAGATTAGGACCATTTACTCCTCAGAGTTGTATGTAGCTACTGCATTCTAATCTGTAATGCCATTTTGCATTTGCCCTAGCTTGCAATTTAGTTTTCTTGATGCTGGGGGAAAGAAAATCATTATAATATCTTCAGTTATGTCTTTTATTTTCTTTCATCCAGGATTTAGAGATCGGTGTGAGAAGCATCTGAAAATATAATTCTCTCTTAAGTAGTAGAAATGCAAAGTTATTCTAGTTTATTTTTCACCTTTACATAATCTTTGTCTGAAAAGATGTAGAATTTTACATGGATGTGTAAAAATATTCTTAGATTTTTCCCAGCATCTAGTTTGGGAGTAGTCCTACATAACTACCTCCACAGTTTATTTTTAGATTTTTTTGAATTGGAAATTCTCTCAGCAGTGGCACTTGTGTTATATTAATGTGGCTGGGCTTAATGACAGCATACATTAGGGAGGTTCACATCTCTTCTGGGAATCAGTTTCTCTGTGTGTATTAAAACAGCTAATTGGTTTTGTGTTAGCTATAATAAATGTAATTAAGAGAATGATGATTTAGGTGTAGACTAGACCTTTTACATAGCTAGATGCAGTGAAAGGAATAAGAGAATTTGAAAAAGAGAATACTAAGAAATAAATAAAATTAAATATATATGTATTATAAGTATTCTATATTATTTATTCATGTCTAACATATTTATTGTAAATTTTTATATTATATGTTATGTAATTTAGAGCTCTACAATTAGTTTATTACAATCTTGATATTACTTTTTTACCAATGAATACTTGTTCTATTTCCAATATACTGAAAGCATACATCAACGGGGTTTTTAAGATATGTATGGAAAACATATTTCACCATGCTAAATTTTTTTCCCACTGCTTTTCTGGTTTCTTAATTTTTTATTGGATTACACGTAATTATATCAGTTAAGTTTGTTGCTTATAACTCTCTTTGTGCCTGGCTGGTGTATTGAAGAGCATTGATGGCAGTTTCTCAATTGTTATGATGGATTTTTAGTTGTGTATGGCAGCCATGGATATTAAATGTTTCTTCCTGAACTTTTCTTGCTCTAAGAACTGAGATTTTAGATTCAGTTTGAAGGCATGGTCTTTGGACTGAATTTTCAGTGAAGGAAAGTATTTTTTCTTTGCTTTTGAAGTAGTTCTGTAGCAATGGTGCTATTTGTACTATTGATTTGGGTGGAAATAGCCAAGATATCATGATGTAAGCAAGTGCACAAGGTACCTGCTAGTTTTAATTTAGAAGATAGATTCTACACAACGATTCCTGGCTATTCTTTTTTTAAAGGAAAACATTATAGTACATCTCCCTTGGCACAGTTTTGAATTGGATTGGATTTTGTGGTTATATGCCCAAAAGAAAAAAAAAAAAAAAAGGACATTTTTCAGAGTTGCACCTTAATTGCATGTAAATTAAAATAGTTCTTTCAAATCTGCTCAAATTTCACTGCTTAGTATTTGCAGTGCTCCCTCAGTACAAAGTCATATTAGTCCTCTTTCTGAGAATCAGGTTGTCATATCAAATAAAGACCACACCAGAGGAAAAATTTTGGCAGCTCAGTAGACATTTATTTCTACAATGTATAGATATTAAAATTTTCATTCGTTGGCCTTGGGGCAGAGTTCCATCTGTCGGAGTTCCTGTTGCATGAGAGTAAGCAGCCCTTTGCATGACCTCATGTTCCTTCTTTGGATGGTGCAGTGGTTGGAGAGATGCTTTTTGAGAATGATTTTGTGAACCCTCCCTGGATTCACTTTTATTAAAATTCAGGGTTTCAAACAGCCCTTGGTCACAAATTTACTCTGTTGTCTACTTTTTAAAGCCACATATGAGAACCTCCTACCAACATCAGTTTGTTTTACTATTTTTATTGCTCATCTGAAATGCATTACAGAGCCTGTTACTGCATATATTATACATATGTTAAAATATATAGAAAATATATAGAATACGGAAATATTTTTAGGTTTTGACAGCAGAGAATAGTTTGCCTGACTTGCCTCCAGGCCTCTTGGTAGTACTTTGGGAAAAAGATGACAAAACTGAAGTCTTCCTGTCTATTTTCCACATGGTTATCCATCGGCTTTGGTAGCCTTTGATGCTGACAGGCTTCTCCCAAAGCAGGTACAGGAATGCAATTTGTAGTTTGTTAGAGAGGCTGAACTGGACGTTTCTAAAAGCTGTTGCAAATCTTCAGGTAATTCTGGAGGTGAATGGCCATGTTTTCTTTACTGCAGTTGCAAGAGAAAATGCTCAATAGTACAGGCTGGAAGGGGATGTTCTGTTGAAATACTCAGCCCACTCTGAGCACATACACTTTTGAGGCAGACTGTATACTATTGTTTCTTCCTGCAGATCTCTTTATTGCCATTTTTGCCTTGTATTTTACGCCTGTATGTATCCCTGCTTTTGTAGCAGAAGTTAGCTGAATAGTATTACCAAAGCAGTGCTGCCATTATTTCTGTGATTATCACCAGTTAAAGGGATTTTTAAAAGCAGTTGAATAAATTTTAATTTTGTTCTCAGGATAGGGTGGTGGGCAGGGAGGGAGCAGAGAGGAATTGGGGCTAAGCACTTACCAGTTTTGGTAGAGGCTGCATCAGTCAGGACCAGTAAAAAAGCTGCTGGGAGTGATGGAATATGTTGATTGTAACTTGTAAACTTAAACTTGTAGAATCTTGTGGGTAATCTATGTCCTAATCTTACTCTGTGGTAGTAAGGAGACCACTGAATCACTCTGTTACTTCAGGCACTAATTGTTCTTATCAGGCCTGCCTGTGCTTTTGAACAGTACTTGTAGACTGGCCACCACTTCATCTGTGCAATTTTTTAACTCTGGAATATTACAGGTAGTGGCAGAATCCTATAGGAAGAGATTTGGTTACTGGAGAAAATGCTTATGAAAATCTTGGCTATTGCAGCAGAGAATGGTTTAGGACATACCATTCCCATCTTGGGGTAAAGTTTTCCATCATAGGTCTAGAATGGGCGGCAGTAAGGGCTATATCTTATCAATTGATTTTTTCCCTTTTTAATTTTTTCTCAGAAATTAATTTTTTGTGGTTTTTAAGACTGGATATAAATATTTAGCTTAAGACTTGAACCTGTGTCAAATTTTCTCTAATTTATAAAGTAATTGCTAGATGTATTTATTGCTGGGAATTTGAAGCCTTGCTATTATTTTCCAGTAGAAGACAATTTTTAGGTGCATTATTATTATTATTATTATTCTTGTACCGTATCTCAGGACACTAAAAAGGCAATTTTAGCATAACTGAAATTTTTGTTTGTATTCTTTTTCAGGACAGTACCAGCAGTATTAATCAATAATATTGACATTATTGACATTAAATCAGTACTATTTAGCAATGTTGAATTTTTTTTTTTTTTAGACAACATCTGGGGAAGATGTACGGGACTTCACAAAGGTGCTGAAGAATAAATTCCGGTCAAAGAAGTATTTTGCAAAGCATCCCCGACTTGGCTACTTGCCTGTGCAGACAGTATTGGAGGGTGACAACCTGGAGACGTAAGCTTGTTTTATAGAGCAGTGGCTTCTGGAGTCACTGGCCTGTTCCATCAGAAGCAAAAAGCTGAAACTCAAAAGATAGCCAACAACAATTGCAGAGCCTTGTGCTATATTATTCTGTATTGTTTCACATTATTTGCAGATCTTCTCTATCATTTCCAAACATATTTTATGCTTAGATTTTTATCAGCATTATATTATAAAGCCATGGACTTTACAATGTCCATGGTAATGAACAAAGCAGGTGATTTTGGCGAGGGCTGAATAGCTGTTTTACAGAGAATGCTTTTGAGGAGACTAGGTTTTTGGAACTGCATTGCTTATTTGAATATGTGAAAATTCCTGGAATTAGAAATTTCTGAGTTAATTAGGGTCCTACAGGCTTCAGAAATATTGGTGGCCTAATCAGAGAGAGCACTCTCAGTGTCTCCATGGTATTATTTATGGCACTGACAGAAGTGCTCCACTTTATTTACTCACTTGGCAGTTGTCAGCAAAAGACACTCTTACAAGAGCAAAAATTAAGATGTGTTGACAGGGTGCTAGAATTAGTTTCGTGGCTTGACTGTCCCTCACATCCTGGAGTCTGTGGCACTGCTGCTCTGCCTGAACACAGCACCACTTAGCAACAGCCCGTGCTAGGTTTCAGCAGAGACACTCTGCATTCATGCAGCAGCTCAGGGTCAGTGCCCAGGGTCTGAGGGCTTTCATGACTGTAGGGCTGTGCCTTTCATTTGCAATAAGTAAACAAAACCTTCTCATTAGCAGTTTTAGAGACAGAAGGAAGTAATCTGAAAACTGCCTGATTGATAGCCTTGCTTCTAAGGAAGTAATGCACATTCAAATGTTACCTACCAGGCAGTCTTCAGCTGCCACCAACACAGGAAAGCAAAGCTGCTTTAATGTGGTGAAAGTTTGCCAATGCTGCCAGAAATTGGAATGATAAAACTATAATCACAGATCAGGATAAAATGCTGTTGGTCCAGTCATGTGGGAAATATAGAGATAAATTGTCAGCACCATGCTGAGAAAACTCTTGGTATTGGTTCTCTGCCCTGCAGGTGGCAAAGCTCAGTAATACATTCCTTCTAATAAGAAAAAAAAAAAAAAAGAAAATAAAAGAAAAAATCTCTTATAGTTAGGTGAGAATGTAATACAATATGTATTTACCTCATTATTTTTATGTGTAAGGAAAAGGAGCATTGATAACTCTGACTTATGGGGGAGGTTTATTGGTGGGGTTTGTGCACCCTGCTTTTTTTAATACATTTTGTTGTTTAAAATGAAAGTTCCAGTACTTGAGAAAAATTTAAATGAATTGATTATGGTTTATGAAGTGCAGTTCAATCAACAACACTGATTTGGATTTTTCTTTAAATTGATTTTTATGTACCAAAATTAAGTATGTAGGTCAGTCTTCTGTCTCTCCATGGCAAGTGGCAGTATTTGTTGCTTCTCTCTTCTACATCAATTGTTACTTGTTCAGGGTGGGTTGCTGTTTAAAGTATTTTGTGTTTCTCCAGCTTTCTCTTGCGTAAATGGTACTGAAGTTTTTGTTTCATAGTTTCATTCTTTTTCTCTCTCTCTCTTTTTGTATCTTCCTTACAGTCCTATCACTCTCATCAGTATGTGGCCAGAGCAATATGAGTGAGTATGCAGAACCCCTTTATCTGGAAAGCTTCATTTGCCAGTTGTTTTAGCTCAGTTGCAGCTAATCTGATGTCCCTAAACTATAGGGCACAGCTGACCCAAAGCAATAACACCCTTGGGAATATAGTGCATGTATTTATTTTTCATCAGTCTAACCTGATTTAAAAATAATGTTGTCTATATCATTAATTGCTTTAGACACCACTAATTTTTTTATTATTATTTTTAAACTAGTCCTTCTCAGTCTCCACAGCTGTTTCATGACGACACACACTCCAGGATAGAACAGTATGCTACTAGGTAAGAGAGACATGGTTTCTCACCAGTCCGTTGCATTTTGTTGTTGATTCCTGCAGTTTTAAATACACACTACTGGTTGGATATTATTTTTTAAAAAGATATCTTTCTCTGTACTTAGAAGTGAGTCAAATGTTCTTAAATTATTAGGTTCTTATTATGATCATATTAAATGTAAAATACATGTGTTAAATCTATCATCTCTCATACAGAATGGAAGCTGTTGCAAAATGGCATTATTTCTAAGAAGTGCCATTAATGGTTTCTTTTTTAATTTTTAACCTTTGAAATAAACTGAACTTATTCTATATATATAACTTTTCCCAGTAGGATATTACATGCAGGGTTTTGTTTTCTTCTGTGATAGGCTGACACTCTGCATTACTGTTGGCTTTTAGCAGCATAGCTTGTAATTACGGATGTTTTATGTTGTGGCTTTTGTGGGGTCACCCTAGTCCTGTTGTGATAAAATGTCTGTTATGCCAAGTCCATCTCAATGTCTCTGTGTTTTGTTAACTCTCTTCTGTACATTCAGAGCTGGTGATCACAGAATCATTAAGGCAGGAAAAGACCTCTAAAATCATCAAACTAAGCCATGTCCTCAAGTGCCACCCCCATGTGCCTTTTGAACATTTCCAGCTAAGGTGGTTTCAACTCTTCCTTGGGCAGCCTATTCCAACACCCAGACCCGCTTTTCACAGAAGAAACTTTCTGTAATAGCTAACCTAAACCTCCCCTGGCACCACTCGAGGCCACTGCCTCTCACCTTGAGTTAAGGGCCTGATGATGGTGAAACATTAACCAGAGACACCATCTCAAAAATAAGTACTATGGGAACTGACTAGGTTTTTCTTTGGGTGGTTTTATTCTTGTATCTGATCTCCACAACTGAAAAACAATTTTAACTTTTTCATTTCTTTGAATAAAAATTCAGAGTGCATGTTTAAATTAATAGCAGTCTTATTTATGGGCACCTTAAAATTCTTCAGACCAGTTTTTTTAAATGCCTAGGATATGCTGCACTGATCTTTGCAACAAGAGAAAATAGGCCAGGAAATAAAGCTGAAGGGCTATCCACAGTCAGCCTATTTTTTTTTTGTTGCCCGACAGCAATTATTTTCATGCTTCATTAGTAGTATAGCACAATGACATACAAAGTCATTACAGAGCTTTTCAGTTATTTGAAACATGCCATTTGTATTAATTCATCATTAACATTTCTTTGAATCTATAACTTTGGCCATGCTGTAATCAATTAAAACCCCTGAACCTGACAAATTTCTCTAGAGAGATGAAAGAATTTTCAGTCTGCCTGTGTCTTTTCAGCCTGTGATGCCACAATACTGCAGCTTTTTGTGCCCAGATAAAGCTCAAAATCTGGACTCTCATTAAGGATCAATAGAGATCTTGGGTGCAATAGCTGTTTTCCCTCTCCTCCCCCTCACCTCTTACCAGTTCTGCTTAGGGTGAGATTAGCTGAAGGTGGACTGCACGGTTCTGAATTACCATTTAGGTTACAAACTAAATCTGTACCTGTTATGTACTGACATTGCTTAGCAAAATCGAAAACTTGCTACTAATTGCCTCATAGGTAATCTGTCTAAAACTACTCAGGATTGTTTTTCTTCTAGTAATAAAATCTAGAAAAAAATACATAATTCAGTGTCTTTCATATAATTTTTGTGTCCTTTTTAGTTGAATCTGTTATGTATACGTGGCATATAAAATAGTAAATCTTTTTTATTGTCCTGGTGTTTTCAGCTAAGCATCTTTAAAGAAATATTATCAGGGCTTCATTGCCTAGCAGAAACAGTATATTAGGGCTTAAAGCCTTCACTGTCACTGGTTGGAGAACATTCAACTCCCACTTTTCTGTTTACAAAAATCCCCTGCCTGGAATCAGATACCATCTCCCTGTCCTGTTAAACAGGGAGAAATTCCCTCTGAGTTGCTTCTAATTTCCTTCCTCAGCTTTCAGTTTTTATCCTACCTTAAAGGCTTTTAAGGTAGTCTTTTTTAAAGCCCTGTGTCTCTGTGCTCCCTGATTAGGGCCATCTGCTGGTTCCATATAGTATCCCAACAAATCCTCATTAATGATGGAGATCATAAATGTGACGATAACGGTGTAATCTGCATTTGTGAGTTGGAATATCTGTCACTCACTAAGGGACTCAGGGCAGGCCCTTCTCTCTTAAAAGTAATGGGGGTTGTACTTCTTCCCTATGTGATAAAAGGACTGTGAAGATTAATTTCTAAAATTACATTTCATCAAAAGATTTAAAGATGCTGAGCTTAGCAGCTTTATAAAGGTGACTTGTAAGCATGTTGCTCACTGTGAACTAGATTTGTTTGAGATGTCCTAGAGCAGAGATGGTCTGATTTGTCCTGAGTCACTTCAGAGATTCTCTTCCATTCAGGATAGATGGGGGAGCACAATGTCCCACCCCAGCCAAGATTAAATAGACAATCAAGTTGACATCCAGTGTGTGCCTTCATTTATTCTTCTTCTTCAACCACAGAAATAGTAACAAATGTAGAGAAGGGCAAACTTGCTCCATTCTAAAAGAAGTCACCAGATTTCCCTGTTCTTTAGGGCCTTGCACACTCCCTTCAAAAGGAAGTTTGAAGATGTCTATAGTAATGCATAATGCACTTGCAAAAATATATGTGAAATTAAGATATCTTTATAGTAAAGGAAATAGCCTTGTTTGGTGCAGTTGAATATAGTGTAGAGCATTAAGTGTTCCTAAATTTTTATGTACATCTCTTATGTACATAAGGTACGTATTTCCTGGAAACCTGAATAGATAGAAAAATTCTGCTTTGATTTTAAAGAACTGTGTGACTTTTTATATACAGTCTGATAATCTGGTCTTTTTAGATTAATTGCTTCTAAAATGTGGAACTGTAGGCAATGATTCCCTGTAATTATGCTGCTTTTTGTGGTGTTTTACAGGACTTGTCTGTCCACAGTGTGGTGTTATTTGCTGAGCATCATTTCAGATATTGCATGTGCTATATTTAAAAAGGATTCATCCTCTTTTGTTAGTTCAGCTTTAGAAAATTCAAAAAGAAAACCATCTGTGAAAACATCTCTTTAACTAATTTTGCCATACGAGTTGTGGTGTTGCTAATGATAATTATGATAGAGGGAGAAAATACACTTTTTTGTTGTTGTTTGGCAAGTAGAATTAATTAATCATAGCACAAGCTTCTCATGAAAGTCCTCTGGATTATAGGTTTTCATCACAAAATCTAGAAGTTTATTCCTAATCATGTATACAAAGATTGCCATATCTGAGTTGTTTCTAAGTGGAATTGATTTTCCCACTGCCACTGTTTAAATTGTGCAGCATGTTGTCTGAAAGTTGTGGTCTTTCCCTGCCTTTCAGGCTTGCACAGATGGAAAGGACCAATGGCTCCTTCCTCATGGACAGCAGCTCCACCACAGGAAGCGTGTAAGTAACTCAGACTCACTGTGCCTCTCAGGAACTTTGGTTATAGGTTCATGCTAAAGTCTTCAGCAGTTCTAACACAGGACTTAGTCCCAGTGAGAGCAGCTAATAAGTATGATCCCAAGGATGCCTCCATAATTTAATTATTCCAAGCACCAATTGTAGAAATTGGTGGTGTTCACTTGACAGTGTGTGGGAACTCTTTGTTTGTCAACCATTCTGCTTCAAAAGTGAGGGTATTTCATGTGACTCATAAAAGGCCACAGCTCTGTGCATTCTACTTTGTATTCCTGTTCTGCTTTTATCATAGTATAATAGAAAAGAATCCTTTTCTAGGCTTTTGCTAGACCCTAGACAACTTTCTTATTAAAATAAAATTCATTTGTACTTTGAAGATTCTTCTGAGCGAGAACAGTGTTGCTGCTTCTTGTTTATATTTCAGTTTTCTGGCTGCTGATCCATCTGTTTGTACCTGGAATTGTCCTGTGTAGTAAACATAGTCCTCCATTTTACCAATTTTCACTTTTTTTCTTTTTTTGAAATTGTGCCACCTTTACTGTAAAACTAATTAAAATGTATTGATTCTATGCTTGGAAAACATAGAACCCCTTGAATTGCTGATTGATTTAATAATTTTTTTTAAATGTAGAAACAAATGTTTTAACCTCACTTTATCATCAGTTCAGTTAATTAAATCAGCATTGTAGGACTCTGCCTCTTCTAAGTTATTAGCAAATACCATCAGCATTTTTAAAGGGGAAAACTGAAATTGTTCTTGTTCAGCTTTAGTTAAAAAATACTGTTGGTCTCAGTAATACTTTCATTTACTGTTTTAAATTTTAATAATGAAATTATTCTATCTATAGATAGGTAATACACTATTAGTGTACTAACAATTTGAGATTTAAAATACTTTGCTTAAAAGAAGAACATGCTTCTTCACAAGAATACATGCTTGAAAGAAACCCTTTAAATGTTTCCTCTTTCCTGATTAATTAACTCTATTTACATACCAAATAAAACTTTTTCATGCAAACTGTTTTAATGTGTTTCTGTCATTGGCACACTCACCAGTGAGAGAAATGCAGCCAAAATATTCCCTTTTGATTTCCCTTCCACAAAAAAGAAGAGCAAACATACTGTCATTTGGCAGGAAAGCTGCAAACTTGAAGGCAGCTAAATGCTCATATGCTTGAGTTGTGTATTTGGAAATTAATGAGCCCACTCATATACAAAGACAAAACAACCATCCATCCCAAAGGCAGGGTGCATGCTTGATTTTTATTGGCAAATCAGCTGTTGATTTTAAAGCAATTTCCCTTTATTCCTTTTCCTTAGAAAAAGAATCAAGAGGGAAAGCTTGTGTACCAACAAGTGAGAGAGATCTCTGAATTTGGGTCTCAGTCAGGGGACTGTTACACAAACAAAATATGGGCAAGAAAGTAACCTTGTACACAAAGGCACCTTCTGTTTTATTTGCAGATGACAGTGCATGCTCTCATTAAGGCATAAGTACTGAAGTACTCAAAATTCTGAAAGCCTGTGGTTTAAAGTTTAAACTATATTCATAGAATCATTTAAGTTGGAAAAGACCTTTACGATCATTAATCCAGCTGTCCAAGCCCACCACTAAACCATGTTACCAAGTGCCACATCTACCTCCCTTAAATGCCTCCGGTGATGGTGCCTCAAGCACTGCCCTGGGCTACTTGTTCCAGTGCTTGACAGCCCTTCTTGATGGAGAGGTTTTTCCAGGGAACTACAAAGCTGTGAAGTTTGTATCCCAGTTTGGATCAGAAATTGCTGAAATTTTGGGAGTTTAGGATTATAGTTCAAACCTATTCTTATTTTTTTAAATGCCACTTAACATAGAAATGTTAAATGGCATTTAAAAAAAAATTAGTTAAAAATACTGTTGGTCTCAGTAATACTTTCATTTACTGTTTAAAATTTGATAATGAAATTATTCTATCTGTCTATAGATAGGTAATACACTATTAGTGTACTAAGAATTTGAGATTTAAAATACTTTGCTTGAAAGAAGAGCATGCTTCTTCATGAAGCATGAAGGATGAAGCAGCATGCTTCTTCATGGAGGGGATGGTGTAACCATTCTTATATGGATAGAATTCAAAGGAGCAATTTGAAATGTGAATACATGTTTTTTTCAGTTCAGATGTAGAGCTCTGAGCCAAACTGCTCTTTTTTTTTTTTTTTTTTTTTTTTTTTTTTTACAGTATTATTTCAAACATTCAGGAAATAATTACTAATTTGGAAATCAAATTCTTTGCTTCTCATAATTGGATTTCTGCTTCATGATCTTATTTTTATTGGTCCTGAAGAGTTCTTCAGTTTACTGTGAATATAGAACAGAGGCAGTGTTGCACTTGATTTTGAAAGTTACTTCTTTAGTCTTATCAAGTTCACAATACTTTTAACATTCTTCATGCTTCAGAGATTATGTGTAAGAAGTCATCTACATTTGAATAAGAGAACTTCTGCTCTAAGTTAAACATAATGAGTTTATTTTCAGGAACATTTTTCAATATACCATTTGATTAAGAAAGCACTCATCAAGGATAATTCTTGGGTTTTAACTAACCTGTTTTCTTGAATGTCATTGTGACTTTTATCTCTCTGACTAAGCCTTTCCAGCCCTCCCCTTTTCAAAAGATATGTGAAGTCCATTAAAAAATGCATTTTCCTTAATCAGAAAAATAGTTGTAGATAGCAAAAAAAAGGCACAGTCTCTACTGTAGTATGTCCAGCTTCTTTAAAAACATTCTAATGCTCTCATGCATGAATTTTCTGGTAGAAATATACTGAATAGAAATGTTTTCCTTTCATGTCATCTTCTCCTGACATTAGACAGTTCTAAATGTTTAGGCTAGAATGTTGTGACGGATTTTATTTGGCTTTAATTAATGCAAAAGCATCTCTGTCTTTAAAGCAGACTTACCTATTCATAAATGAAGATGAACATAAGGAAAAAATTCAGTCTTCACAACAAGAAATGATAAATAGTTCCTAACAGGAAGCTGTGCTTCACAATTTGATAAATCATGCTGTATTAGAATGAAAATAAAAATTGTTAGAGGAATAGGACAAGAGGGTAACTCTCCTATTCCTGTAACGTATGAACTATCCTAACCAGCCCGTGCTGAAGGGAATTGCAGTGGGCATAGTATAAATACTTCCAGAATAAATGCAGATGCTTAATAGCTATTTTCTGGTTTGTGCCTTTACGAGCAGATATCTTCACATCCATAGCATTGTTGATGCTATTTCACACTCATCTTAAGGCAGAGTTGGAACATATCTGAAACTTTACTTGTCAGAGGACTCTGCGCTCAGAAGAAGGTTCAGAAGTAGGAACAGGTTCAAAGTGAAGATCATTGATACTTTTACCTGACACTGCTACTTAATGTGGTGTAAGTCAAACTGGAGCCTCACTATGTAACTGAGTACTGTGAATGATGTAAGGGGTTGAAAGGTACCCTGTCACAAGGAGAAATTAGTTTAATTGTATGGTAAAATCAGGAGAAGAGCAAGTAAATTAGATAAAGTATTTTTGAGTACCTTTTGCGTCCTTATTCTAGTATGTCTCATAGCATCAGTAGGTCGAGGTACACTTTATTTGTACTAGAACACATGGTGCTTAGTATGAGATCTACAGCAAAAATGAAAATTGTCAATGGCGTAAGTTCACAAATAGCCACATCTTCCTATCTTTAATCAAATTTAGCAGTTTTCTTAATGAGATAAAATAATACACTGATGAAAAGTGATGGTAAAGAAATCTATATTTTCTTTCTACAACATAGTCAAACTAAAAAAGAGGCTATATGCAGCTTTATTTGCCTCTTGCTTCCTCCATGCACAATGCACGTTTTGGAATAGACATCTTGAAAATATATGTCCACAAAGAAAATATGATCCTTCAAAGGCTGTTTCCCCTAGGCCTCTTTGTTGGGGTGTTCTTTTCCTCTGAGATGTACTTCTTTCAAGTCTGACCTACTGGGATGTCTTGTTTGCTCCTTTTTACTATGGTGAAATGCAGAATAGGAACTGCAGCCTCTGCTGTCAGAGGACTTTGTGTACTTCTACTTGTTCCTCAAAGTGCACAGGGTATTCAATAAAATAACCACCAAGAAAGATTGAGCAATTAAATTTTACATGATGCTTTTACTTTGATTACTGATCACTATCTCCTACCACTTCAACAGAACAATGTCCCAGATTCTCAAGCTGAAAGTATTTGCCTGGCGTAGAACAATGACCTTATGTTGTAGGTCATTTGAAGCCCTGTCCTGGGACTTCTGTGCTACTAATGAATCTATCCTAATTATGAGATTTATTGGTGCAGGTTCAAGGTTGTGTTTTTCTAAAGTAGTAATTTTGCAAGACAGACCAAAGGTAGAAAGCATGGTGAAAATACAGTTTTGCTTCAGAAGACTTCCTTTATCAAGTGCCTGTGAGAAAAGCATGCTGTCAGTTGCAATGTGTAATGCCTAAAAAAAGAGCAATCAATATTCACAGCCTCTCCAGTAGGCTTTCTGAGGCTCTGAACCAGTGGGAGAGAAGGGAAATGAAGCTTTTTCTAGACTGAATAACTTTGAGACCAAAATATAAAATTTCATGTATTTAGCTGTGTTGATCTCATCTACTGGATCACAATACAGTATGTAAGCATTTACTGTGTAAACTCTTCTTTAACAGCCTTTATAGGTTTCATTAAAAATTGAAGTTCAACTAATGCAAAATCTTGACAGATTCTCAGGTCTAACAAATTCCAATAAATATAATAAATCCAGCTTTACAGAGCCTTATTTTTAAAAAGATCCAGTTTAGGTGTCCTAAATTTTGTTTATAAACTATTTCACCATTTCAAAACATAGACAGCAGCTTTTTGATGCCTAATGAAAATAACCAGACTAAACTACTTCAAGTCAACGTTTCCTGACATCATCAGCACCCTTGCACAAAAGAAGGCTGTATGTGTAGTCAGACAGTATCACTTAAATTCACATGCAAACAGTGTTTTGAAGCCTGGATGATGAAGCTGTGTTTCTCTCACCTGCCTGCTTTAACTCTGTTTCTGTGCTCACCCAAGGTGTGACATTGAATTGCCATCACTCTTGGCTCGCTGTGGCCATTTCAGTCACTGGGTACTCTGCATGTTTTGCAGGGCTGTTTGAAGCCCACAGAGGGGTTACATCACTTTGGCAAAAATTTTATTAAAAGGGGTAGGGTATATTTGTCAGAAGGACTAAAGGGTATGGAAGTACAATGAGGTTTTAATTATCACTTCGGGACGGGATCCAAACTCCATTAACTGCACTAGCCTTTGTTTTAATTTTAAGTAGACATGAACTATTAATGAAAAACACTAGTGATTATGAATTTCCCTAAGATTACTCAAGTAGTGAAGGAGATAAAGCAGTTAAAGGCTTTTTTGTTTTGTTTTGTTTTGTAGATTATGGGCAGAAAAGGAACACTGATCTGTTTCTTTCTGTTTCTTTTTCAGCTAGCACTATTGGATGTCCCTATTTTTTTAAGGACTTAAATGCACATGCAGCCCCAATTACATTTAACTCTCTCTATATATGTATTTAATGAAAAATTCATTAAATGTATTCATTTGCAGGGGAGATCCATGTTGTCATTTCTGTAGTGACAACAGCCAAGACAGCTAAGAAATAAGTGAATGTACATTCTTTTCTTTAAACTTTCTACTGATTTTTAAAAGCAAAACTCAATAATTAGGTTTTTCATCCAGTGGACAGATCTGTCACAGGCTATATTTTTTCTTGTTTGGATATTTTTCAGCAGACACAGTGTTACTGATGTACATTTATTTGATTGCACAAGTCTAAACTTTCAAGTCTCAAAGACGGGTTGGAAAGTGGAATCCACATGATAGCTTTGGGTAGACAGTGAATAGTTATCCTTGGGAAGAAATAATTTGGTGCTGTTCTACCATGAGATTAGTCTTCAGTACAAATTTTGTCTTAGGCAGTACTACAAAGAACCAAATCATTTTGCTAAATGATAGAAGTACTTTTTCAAGAGAGATACACCAGGAATCACGATTTATTAAATCTTTGGCTATTTTGTCTTGTTTCTAATACTGATGATGCTTTTCAATTAGAATTTGTATGCTGATTTAACAGTAATTTAATAGGATAAAGTAAGGTTTTTCATTTCACAAGCAGTATTTATGCAACTCTCATCTGTTCCTGTCATGAGCATTTTCTCCTTTTGTCCCAAGAGTTTGAACTTATTTCTGAGGTACCCCCCAATCCATATGCATGTCCCATAAGACACCTAATGAGTTTCACTTGTACATGCATTTATTTATAGACTATTTCTCACCACAGAAATAACAGCTTTTTCTTCCAGGGTATACTTTTCTACATAACTGGTTTTAGTATTCATTCAAATGAGACAGTACATTTGGAAATTCTATGATGAAAGATGTTAAATTGACTGAGGAATTTTTTAAAAGCCTCCTGAAAATCTCCATTACACTTGTATTTGGAAAATAAATACTTTGCATACAGTGAGCTTCTGATTTTTTGTATGTGTTTGTAAAGGCAGTCCTTGAGGATGCTTTTCATTCCATAACCAGTGGATAGCAGAATTTGCAGCTGCTACTTTCCAACAATTGGAGGGAAAAAGTTAGCACATAAAATATTTTTAATGTGAAAAAGTCTCTTTTCTAAATAATATCTGAATATGTGTGTATATACTGCCCATGGGTGTGTCACACTGTTCTGACCATGCTTTAACAGGAGGAGATCCTTAGGGTAAAGTTTGTACCAATACTTCATGATATCATAAGGTGTGCAGTATCTGGTTTGTAGTCAATTAAAGGAAATAATTTAAGGAGGGTTTTCTTCATCACTTTTACTGCTGCAGCAACTTCTCTCTTAAAAATGAATAGTATATGATTTTCTGTTGTTGATTCTTGAGTAACCAAGATAAATATTTCTTGAGTAACCAAGCAAATAAACTGGTTTTAGGATGTGGTATCTTTCACTTTCTATCCATCTGACTTTATTTATGGAGAAAAGCCAGCAACTTGGAAAGTAGGGCACATCTATACAAAACCAAATTCACTTGGGTATTAAAGCATCATTGAGTGTCAGGACTTCTGTAACTCCTTACCAGAAGGTAATTTCATGTGAGGCAGGAGGAGGACAGTGTTATAGTTTATTTCTGTCCCTGAATCTCTAAGAAGGAAACCTACTACCAATGCAGAATTTCAAGGTCTTGTATGTGTATATCAAAATAGGGGGAGAAAAATGGAACTTTTTTTCTCTAACTTTAATGGGACTTTTTGTTCTCTAATCTTATCAGCTAAGTTGAGCAAACCAAGATTAACTCCTAAAAATTTCAAAAATGTTAAATATTGTTGGAAAATGTATCTAGAAGATGCTTGTTTTACGTAAGGCATTTCAAATCAGTCAACTTTGATTGCTGATTCTTGTTTTCACTCATTCTTTTCAAGCCACTAGCAACATTTGTTCTTTATGCATAGATTAAACTAAATTGATCCTTTACTGCAAATTAATCTTTTTTTTTTCCCTGTGCATTGTTTGTTTATATGGTTTCCTTTCAGTATGTTTTTCAGGCTTAATTTTGTCTCGCTTAGTCTTTTTCCATAAACAAACAAAATCCCTCAGCTTGATAGAGATGTTTGCTCACATAATAAATGTTTTACTGCTCTCTCTTTATCTGTGTTGTTTTATTGTTTCAGAGAGGATGAGCATGCCCTTATCCAGCAGTATTGTCAGACGCTGGGAGGAGAGTCACCTGTGAGTCAGCCACAGAGTCCTGCTCAGATACTCAAGTCGGTGGAGAAGGAAGAGCGGGGAGAGTTGGAGCGTATCATTGCTGACCTTGAGGAAGAGCAAAGGTCTCATAATCATTATACTGGTGTCTGAATTTTCATTTTGTTGTTGTTTGAGCCATGCATGTACTATGTTGAAGATAAGAAAGACCTAGAAGTTATGATTTTAGCAAAAAAAAAAAAAACCCAAACAACAATCCACAATCAAGTCAATATATATTGTGCATAGGCTGGCTCTGTTAGAAGAGGGAGGTGTCTGAGAAGAAATAAATTAGTTTCACTTTTACTTCACTGCCTTTTTTTTCAATCCCGCATAAAACACAAGCCAACACCTTGTCTTTGTTTGAGCTCTTTGAGTTGTTAGTTGGAGATGCTAACATTGTTTGATTTGAGAAGTCTTTTATATTCATTTACTTGATCAAGTCATGATTCTCCTCCACTTTTCAATATCCCAGGAGTCTGCAGATAGAATATGAGCAACTAAAGGAGCAACATCTTCGGAGAGGAATAAACCCTCTTGCATCACCTCCTGACTCTGTTGTGTCACCTCAGCATGCTTCTGAAGATGCCGAGCTCATTGCTGAAGCTAAACTCCTGAGGCAGCATAAAGGTCGCCTGGAAGCAAGGATGCAAATACTGGAAGATCACAATAAACAATTGGAGTCTCAGCTCCACAGGCTACGGCAGCTACTCGAGCAGGTACATGTACACTTTGCCCCATATTGTTTCTGCACAATGGATTTCTTGGTGGAGCAAAGGCATTGGCATTTTACTGCAGGTATTTTCACCATGTACTCTTGGTCTGCTGCAATCAGTCATTTCTAACAAGATGTTTTTTGTTACCCTCTAGTATAACCCATGGTTAATGTCAAATGAGCAGAAAATGATTGCAAGTGCTGGAGTGATCATGGGAACTTAGGAAACACTGAGAATAACACAAACAAGAGCAATAGCTTTTCATTAATTAAAAAGCATGGGAAGAAAATATAGATCCTACTCCAAGTAATGATGCTAGCCACATTCCATTCCATGTTTGACTTCAGTTTTACCAGATGCTTTCCTTAAATAATATGTTTATTTGTTATCACAGTTAGTCACTCAGGCCTCTCTTAGCATGCCAGAGACAGATGGCCAAAGATATGTCTGAAATACAAAGGAGCAACTAATTAAATTAAAAATCCAGTTCCTCTTGAGTGGCATATCACCAGAAAACTACAGCAAAGTGGTCTTTCACACGAGTAAATGCTGGAGGTAAGAGACTTTTAGCAAGTGCTGGTAGCTGGAGATTATAGGGTTTTCTTGTTGGCAGAAGGAACACCGATTGCTTTGGAAGTCAGCATGTGCACACCTGGCTTGTAGAAATAACAGAAGCATCATGCACCATAATACCATAATAACGGGAGCAACATAGGTATTGTTAGGGATGGTAGTTTGTACTATATCATGTGTGGAAGCTTGACTAATGAAGATAAATTTGTATGAATGTTTTCTTCTAATTAATCATTATGTTTGGGTCAGAGTACAGTAAGGCAAGTATTTCCTGCCTTCCATGAGTCAGATGTAGTAGGGGATTTAACTGAGCCAAGAAACAGGCTACATAAACCAGGTATTAAAATGGTCCAAGTTCCTGCTGTAGATCATACTCTCATTACAGGGATTAAGGTATTTGCTGTTTGTTTCACTGGCTGACTTTGTCAATTTTCTAGACAGGTTTGGCTCAATAGGATTTAGATGCATCTGTTCCAATTATTTCCCTACCCCTTTAGCAGAGTAAATTTTTTTGTTGCTACTGTTATTCTAGCATTTTAATCAGTATTTTAGTAGCTGTAATATTTCATAGGGAAGATAGTAACCATACACCTTTCATGGGGGCACTGGCACTGTGCCAGAGTCAATCCATGACACCGGTGCATTGTTAATAATATTTTATAAAGTAATGATTTTGGGATATGTGGCCAATACTTGGTCTTTCAGAGAAGGGTTTAAAATCTGCAAAGAAACAGTTGAATAGAACAGAGAAGTTCTGCCAAACCCATGGTCCCTTGCAGCTTAGTGCTTGGAGCAGAAACTTGTTCACCCCTTAAAACCCTTTTTTCCCTTTCCCTAATGTAGCTGAGGATGATCTCACAATTTTGTAATCTTTTTGGAATCCTTACACCATTCTTAGTAACACCTTTAGGGTATACATTTTTGTTCTGATAAAATGGGTGGGAGAAGGGACAGTAATTCTTATCATTTCTGTCTTTGGAATTTTCTAGGCATTCTGCAGCTTTTGGGTTCAGATAGGGTAAAGCAGAATAGAGGTGACATTTTTCAAAATTTCTGACTGTTTACAACTCATTTACTGTATACTGTTGCTCTTTTGCTTTCTGTCCGCATTGTGGACTCTCTGTGGGAGTCATGCCATGCTTCTGATTGTTCTGAGTGTTATTTCCTAAGGTCTTTGTTTCTACTCTGTCATTTAATAAAGTGGCTCATACAGAGTCAAGTGTATGAGAAGATCTGCATTATTTGTTTTATAACCTATCTGTGGCTTTTCAATGTGCCTTTCTATACATACCGTTACTTAATTCACCAGATGTTTTACAAGCTATTTCCAGAATGTCAAAGCTACTCCCCTGATGGGGATTCCAAAATTATAAATAATTTAAATTTTAGTAATGTTCTTTGAAATTTATTTTGACATTGATAGAATTATGAAGCAACACTGATTTCTATTACTGCCCCCTTTCTGAAAAAAATGACCACTTTTCAGCATGTTTGTGTTCTGACAGCTTGGCCACTACCTTTTAGGACAGCCTTTATCTCTTTCACTGCTTGGGGAAGGACTTTATTGGAGGCCTACTTATACTTATTTGTTTCCTTTGCTTTTACTGGCTGTCCCAGTTATTTTTAGGGGATGAAAAGAATTCCTTTTCTTATTAATGAGATGGATGATTTGCAAGAAAGATACTCATAAGTCTCAATCTCAAAATATATAACCACAATAAAATTACTAGTATTAAAGGACACAACTGTCTTACAGCAATATCTTTGCCATGGCTGGCATTTTATGCCATCTCTGTTTGTCTATTCTATCAACAGCAACTCTCCCCATTCCTCTTCTCCCCTAGCCTCCTGACTGATGTTTTATACACTGAGTATAAAATACTGGAACTTCTCTTTTTTTCTCCAAAAGATTGGAGTGAGTCTGTCTACACAAAGATATGGGGGTAGAGAGTTAATGAAATTTGGAAACTTTCATGTAGTAACTGCTTAATCTAGATGAGAGCATTCTAGGACATTCTTTAGAGAGCACCTTCAGCAGAAATATGCATGCATCCTCACTGCACATTTGTCTACTTCAGGTCACAATTCTGAGGTTACCATACTATTTTTACTTTAGCAAGCCCAAAGGATTGGTAGCTGTCACAGAATGTTGTCATTTTTGTCTGTCTGATTGATTAGGGTGCCAAAGAGGAAGGTGAAACAGAGCTGGCATGTGACAGCTTTGATACCAACATGTTAATCAGACAGAGAAAAAACCAAGTATTCATTCTCATTTTTCTTTCTTCAGCCTTTATAGATACTGCGTTTGCAAAGTCAAAGTGAGACCTATTATGAAGGGCATTTAAAGTCTGTTTGGATTTTTCTCTGTTTTCTCTGAGCTGCTGAATAGAGGCTTCATATTGGATGTGATATTGAAGTTAGTGGGAGCTAAAATCATCTGTCAACAGCTGTATGATCAGACAGAGAGTAAATAGGGGCTGCAACTCTCTCTCCAGCTGAAAGCAGAAGAGCTTTATCAGAAAAGCACAGGAGAGTTTGTTTCTTTTATAGCCGGGAGAAAAATTCTGGAGGAAGAAGAAACATCTGTAATGAATGTGGTAGTAAAATTGGCATATTTGAGGTTTCTGGTGATTCAGACTGGGGACACTGAGGTTTTGTTTGGTTTTTACCAAAGGAGCAGAAGTTAAGGAAAGAGCAGGTATGTCTTAGCTGTCCATTAAGCCACAGAGCACTTCAGGCTCTTCTCTGGGAAAAACACCAGCAGGAGGCATAGTGAAATAAGGCCTGTAGATTAGAACTGGTTGAAATTAATATCTCCTTTGACATGCTTTAAAAACTGCTGTAATACAGAAACAAAACCATAATTTTATTGTTTTCTGGAGAAGGACTTATTTGTCCTTTCATGTCCTTGCTTGTTTTTACCTAAAAGAAGTTTGAAAACTCCCTGAGACTGGAGTTGGAAACCTCTCCCTTATCCCTATAGAGGCATACTCAGTATCCCTGCTTTTATTTCTTTCAAGCAGCAGCAGCTGTATAATAATAATCTAGAGCTATTTGTTTTTTAGTTTCTGTCTTAAGGGCTATCTGTTGAGTTGTTTTGAATAAGAATACATTAACTTCATGATGCCTGAAGGGAGTTAGGATGGAAGAGCTCTTATTTTGTAGGTGTTATATAATTGGAGTCAAATAGAATGTGATTTTCTACTGCTATTTTTCTCAAATTCTCCAACAATAAAATTGTTAAATCATGTAAATACATGCCAGTATATCTGTATCCTCAACTGGTTTGCATTTAACATTTTCCAGTATGTTATGGATTGACTCTGGCACAGTGCTAGTGCCTCTTATGAAAGGTGTATTCTCTAAAATGGTCATTGTGAGATGTGACCCAGGAACAGAACAAAGCAGGCTCTAACTTGGGAATGGAGGGAAAAGACAACACTTTATTAATTTACACAGACACAAAAGGGAAGGGAAAAAAACTACACACACAACAATCCCTAATAGAACACTTTCGAAACACTCTTCTTCTTCCCCTCAGTCCTCTACCATTCAAATCCCCTATAACCTATTAATACTCAATCCAATACTCTCTTTTCACACAAGCACCCCCCAGTCTATCAGGAGAGAGGAGCCTCTTTCTTTCACCATAGGCTTCCCCGGAAACACAGTAGAACTTCTGTGCTTCCATGTCACACACGGCAGCTGCTGAAAGAGAAATCTGCCATGGTGACCATCTTCCTTCCATGTCCAGTGCTCTTACTACTGTTGACCATAACTTCCCAAAACTTCACTTCCGGGTCAAACCATGACACAGTATCTGGTGATTTTACTAAGGCAATTATATCACTACCACAAACCTTCACTTTCTGCTCCAAACCCCACTCTTCAGCTGCTTAACAATATTGTCCTTAATTTGGAAGAAGAGTTTGATTTGTTTAGGCTTTTCTTTTTATTGCAATCACTGGAACTATGCAGTGCATCATTTGTCAGTATATTTAAAGGAAAATGAAGTAATCAGGCATTGGCGTCTGATTGGAAGATGATGGTGTTGTAGGTTTTGACCTGTTTTTAAATCCAGCTGCAATATTTCATTCTGACTGCTGCAGCAACATATGGTACATCAATGTAAGATTTTCCTTACAATTAAGGTTTTCCAAAGTATGTTTTGTTTTCTCTCAGTTTATCCACTGATAATCCTTGTGCTCTGCAGTGCTCTTTTATCACTTGCAATAGGGCTACTAAGTGATACCTTGACTAACTCATCACCTGAGTTTGTAGGCATTTAGTTTCTGTCTATCAGCATGAGCTGCTGACTTTGCAGTGCCTCCCTATCCTTGATTGAGCCTATGTGGCTGTGCTACAGATTTGTATGTCCAGCACAGATCTTCACCCTCATTAATCTGTGCACAATTTATTCATAGTTGCTGCTTGAACAGGGCCAGAGGCAGAGATTTACTTCAGGTGCAAGTTTGCATTTTGGATGATTCACATTCTCTCTGTTCATCTGTTTGTGGGGTGGGCAAGCAGTCACTCCACTGCTGGAGTTAGTTTTGTTGTTCTGTATTGAAGGGACTCTTCACCTGTGGAGAATTTGCTTCCTCTCTTTGCCATTACAGCTCTTAACATTTCAGACAGTGGTTCCTGGCAATACAGAATTGCCTGGGTTAAGTTATTCCAGGCTTCTCTGGTTTAAAATCACCACACTCATTTTACTTCAACTCTTTAGCTGGATTGAAGCCTGGCACTGAGCATCAAATTACTGAACTACCTGATAGTAATTCACCGTTCATAGAAGTGTCTTGACAGTGAAATCCTTGTCTGGCTTGAAAACATTTCCAATTTTCTTTGTCTCCTATACAGACTAAAATTTCGTGATTTCTTCTTTTAGTCAAAGCTGGCCTTTAGTATTGTCATGCTGAAAGAGATAAGATTTAGAGGAGTTTTACTGAAGATTGTTTTTGTTAGGTTGGAAGCTATCTCAAGAAATTGAGTATTTCAATTAAGGCCGTGAAGTGCAAACTTGTGCACAAATTAACAGCCATTCTGTATTCTAACTCTGCATCAAGTCTCACAGCTGTTCTAGGTACTTGCTCAGTTTTAAAAAGACCTTAAAAGCAATGATCTTTTGTATTACTTCAGCATCTGCTTTTGATATATTTACTTAAATAACCTGCTCCTTAAGATGTTCAGAAGTAATCTCATGATTTGCAATCAAAAAGATAAAAGGATAAGTGATAGCATCAACAATTTCAGTTAAATCTACCTCAGATGTCAATATTATTTCACTTATTTATGTTTTTTTTTTCAGAACAATCACTTCTGGAGCTCAAATATTGTATTACCAGTATCTTCCTTGAAGTAATTTTTAAAATAATAAAGGAAGGAAAAGAAGGGGAAAATGCCTAAATAAAGTCCCTTCCAATATTTCTGAGCTGCTATGGCCTTTTCTTATTTTCTGTCCATATATGTGTGTATATATGTATGCATATTACATATACATTCCATGTATACTTAAATGTAATCTCAAATACACATGGCTACAGCTAAATGTAATATCAATTTCAGTGATTCTTCAAGTGAATTTAAGAGTCCAGAAAAGCTTCTTTTCAAAGTGTATAAGTTATTTCTCATCATTTTCAAGAGTCTATGTTGTACAAGTTCCTGCAAATTTGGTGTGTTCCACAAGGCTGAGAAGCAGCATCAGCAGGAGTGATGGCTGGCTACCACTTTTTAGATTTAATGAAGTTGTTTTGATTCTGTCATGAGTCTTCGTTTGATTCTGGAGTTCTACAAATCTGTTTGTGATTGAACAGCTGTTTCTAAGCATGCTTAGTCATCCTTGTAAAGCTTTTTATGGGCCCCTAGCTGAATGTCCTGTTTGTGTGTGCATACGTGTGTAGATGTGTATATACCCATGCAGATAAATACAACCCAAATGATCCCACTGTGTAGTCTTTCTGCAGAGCTGGACTGGGAACCTTGGCATACTGTGTATATTACATATTACATTGTGTTTTGTGATGCAACAGAATGCTGTTTTTAGCAAGTCCATCAGCTGGAGTCTTGTAAGAGCTGTTCTTAAGTCTAGATTTTCTTTTAACAAGCTCGTGGTTTGGTTTTTTTTTTTACCCTTCATCACTTGTATAGACCTAAGCCAATTTTCAATAGTTTGGAGGACAAACAAGAAAGAGCACATAAAAAAGAAAGGAACAAGATGGCTGCATACTAGCCTACAGTTACATTATGTGGATACAAGTAACCTAAACTTGTGTCTTCTTGTCTTTGATGCAGCCCGAGTCAGACTCCCGGGTCAATGGCGCCTCCCCCTGCGCTTCGCCCCAGCACTCTGCCCTGGGCTTCCCACTGGAGCAGGACACAAGCTCACAGTTCCATCAGACAGGTGGGTGTTCTGATCAGATAATGTGCTCATGAGGCTATAGGTGACTACTGGATAGGTTTGTTGGCACCTTCTGGACAGATTTGTAAATCAGATCTTTGCGATGCTTCAGCTCAGTGCAGCTGGAGGTGTTGCTCCCTCACACTTGTGAAGAGCTGCGGTATCCTAAGAATCCACGTGACTCTGAATTACAGACTTTTGTCAATAGACTCCTTGGTTCCAGCTATTCTTACCAAGTGAATTTACTGGGCAAATCCATCCTCACTGAAAGGGGAGCCAGACTTCATTGGACTGAAGTGGCCAAGAGCTGTTTGTCCTACAGTACACACATGGACCCAAGTAATCTGTCAGATACAGGACCAAATGTCCAAATCGTATGATCTACACTTGCTGTCTGCTTTAAAAATTCTTGTGTAACCTCTGCTTATCCTGGTATTTTGATGTTCCCACTCCCAAAAAGTTCACATCTTCAGGAGTAATTCAATATTTATGGGTACAGGCTCTCCACATAAAGGGATTTCTTTCTCTCTTGAAAGATTATTTTAAATTCTCTGGTATCAGAACTCATTAATTTCACCGTGAGTTAGCAGAAATAACTGCAGACCATTGCATGGACAAAAGTAGGGGAAAAGAGAAAATATTTTTCTCAAATTATCTTATGTATAAATTCCTCCTGTTTCTGTTTTTAAGCCTTGTGTTACAGATTAAATATTATTTTGTTTCTGTAGAAAACAGGAAAATTATTCTCATTTTCATTCAGCATTAACATATGTTTTTCCTTTATCTGGAAAAACATGGGACTTGAGTCTGATTTCATGCAGTATGAAAGATGCTGTCCAATAAAACTACCAACAACACAGCCAGTTATGTTCCCTAACCATTCTCTTAACTAATTTTAAGCATCATTTTTCAAAGAGATGGCAAGGGGGATTTTAGCACTACTGAAATGGCTGGTACATATTGAATAGAAACTATCTAAAAGATAAATGTTGGGATTTTTTTCAGAGAAAAAACGGTGTATTCACTCTGAAAGTTACATGACAAATCATCTGCAATTGGAACAGAATTTTAATAGAGTAGCTACTGAGTTTAATTCCCTCATCTTGTCATTTTATTTATTTTAACTGTAAATGTTTATATACTGTTCCTTGCTGGCAACTTCTAGTTAAATCCTGGATGAAATGGTTAAGTTTTAATGAAAGAGAAATGAGTTTGACTGCAAATCAATAATGTAACTTTCATGTCCTCTCCCAAGGCTGGCAATTATCGATGATAGTTCCTGCACATTACAAAGGTTTCAGGTACTGTTTTCCCTTGAAATATAAAGGAGTAATTAACTGGAATGTTGGCTAAGAATGTCTTTTAGAATGTTGTTGTCCTTTTATTTTTTTCTCCTTCTGTTACAAAAATTATTTTTTTTTTGTCATATCTGCAGATGACTTGTTAGTTCCACCTCATGATACCAACACAGATCTAACAGATGTTATGGAGCAAATCAACAACACATTTCCAGCTTGCTGCTGTAAGTTTAACAAAATATGTCTCTGAGAATCATATTGAATTTGATGTGGTCTTTAGAAAAAAAAAATAAAAATCATTCTTGTGGTATTGACTAGGAAAATAAATATCTCCGAGGAGATTTCTTGTGTAGATATGCAAGCTATATAATCCTGTACCTTAAAATTCCTCAATAGACAATACTTTTAAAGTTAAATAAATATTTTTAAGTGGAAGCAATTCACTATAAGAAAAGCCTGTAGCTCAATGTGGAATTTTCAGCAGTGCCCAAATAAGGGGAAAGACATCTAGAATCTCACTAGCTGCTGATGAAAACCTTTTGTTTTGTAGAACTTAAGTGAATACAGAATACAGATTCTGAATGCAGTTTTTGTAGTAAAGCTTGAAAAAAAAGTTCTTAGACAATTAGTCCTTAGACTAATTACTGAGCTAGTTATTAAATTGATCTGAGGAAATCTGTGAATGCAGCACATAACACCTTTCCCTGCTTAAATGCATTGGAAGTTGATATCTTATTCAGTGTCTATTAAAGAGAGATCAAAAGGAAAACCAACTTGTTCCTATGCATGTCCTGTATCAGCTGACATACATTTCCCCTGATCCTCCTTCCAGTGTCCCTGCCCTTGCAAAAGTGAGAATCTGTCTCATGTATCATGGTGGGTTTTGTAAAATACATTTATACATATACATGTCTTTATATATATTCCAGCTCTTTTGCCTTAGAAAAACAGTAGTGAAAACTTTGATATATTCACAAAACTGTTGAAAGTTTCAAATGAAATGTAATAATAATGATCAGTTTTAAAAGGCAGAAGTCAGAGAGTGGCTGTTTATTTCCAGTCCTTTTGGAAGCATCAAGACTCAACTCTATGCTATTTCATAAACTCTATGAACCCTGTTAAAACACCCCTTTTATCTCTTGAACACGCATTGCTGCATCACAGAAGATGCACCTTGCATGTTTTGAAAAAGCAAATTAGATACTAGCAAAAAAGGTCTTGTTTTAGCTGTCCTTTTTGATTTTTGATGAGTTCAACAATTCAGAGCCCCTTGTTCTGAAAATTAAGGTTTTGATTCTAAGGAGCATCTCATTTGAGGTCAACAGCTAGTGGAGTTGCTCAGCACACCTCAAGGGTGTGTGTATACAAAGGGTGTGTGTATAATCAGGTATAAAATCCAACTCAAGCATTTGTTCTTGGTTTTGCAAATTACTGTCTTGCTATGTGACTATACAGCTACAGGGTCATTTGGCCCAAATGAATTTAAAGCAAATTGCATTATGTTAGGAGAAGCTTGGTAAGGATGGCTGTCCTCCAGAACTGGGAAACAGAAAACAATTCTCTGATTCCATGAACACCTTGAATGAGACAGGAGAATACTGCAAGTGAAAACCATGACCCCTTCATATTGTCTATCTGAGCATTTAAGATTAAAAGGAGACACAGTTCCAAATTTCATGTGATTTTTCCCCATTGTCAGCTTAAACCACCTTGCCCCGGTTAGTAGGTACTACTTATGTTTACTCTCATTCAGTCAATCTATAACGTCTTTTACTCTGAAGTAATTTTTTTTAACTGTCAGATTCATATCTTAAATGTTTTAGAAGCCTGGAATGAGGATTATTAGTCTGACCTTCCCAACAAAGGGCATTAGACTCTGGGTTTTGCTAAGGAAGACCATGACAGACTATCCAAGTCCACTGTCTTTTCCTGTGGCCATTTGAGAGGGATCTGTTTTCCTGGCTGGACAATTGTCAAATCTGTTCTGTAAGACTTGTGATGTAAATTCCACGGACTCTCTAGACATCACAGTATTCCTAACCTTAAAGAATAATATCCTTAGACTCTTTATTATATCCAAGCTCAATTTTATCAAAACAACCTCCATGTGCAACATCTCATGTCCAATTATTAAAAAAAAAATAAAATCAAACGAGAAATTAAAAATCTTCCTTCACAACCTCATCTTTACTTGTCTCTTCTGCCATGGCCACAGCTTCTATCAAGCAGTTACTAGCATCTGAGCCTTATGCACATAAATTTTATCCCATTTTGACTGTTTAACAGAGATAGTAGTCTTGCTTATTTGTTTTCATAGGAATTTATCTTGAAATTCATCTTTCTATTTATGTCAAATATCCTTTATGAAGCAGTTCATAATAGCGCATAGCCATCAATACTTACAGTGGTTGATTTTGTTGTTCTGTGGTTTGGTTTTTATTGTGGTGTTTTTGGTTGTTTTTTTTTTTTTTTTTTTGGGGGGGGTTTGGGTTTTTTTTTGTTTTGTTTTGGTTTTGTCCTTCAGATCCACTGATCATGGATATAATGCCCCTTTTTCCTTCCTTATTTATGTCATTGGTCCTCAGAAGTAGGCAGGTGTACAGCACTGTGCAGAAGTCTTGTCTGTGCATCTGAGTGATGTCCAGAGCAGAGCATTTTAAACAGATGATACTGTAATACATCACTCAGGCATTCTGATATGGCTATAGATGGTGCAAATTAGGCAATCCATATTAACTATATCATTATAATGCTATAAATTTGTTAAAACTAAGTTTATGAAGAATTAAACCATTGCAACACATTTCTTGTTAAATGTTTAGTCTATTAAAGATAACTCTTTTTTTTTCTTCTGTAGTATGTGTTTTCCTGATAATAACTTTGTTTTTTAAATTGTCAAGATGCAGAATTATGTAAATTTCTAACCTTTTTTTTTTTCCTATTTGCAGCAAGTTTTGCTGGCAGACCACAGGTATGAGACATATTTACATACTTGCATAGGCATTGGAAACAAAGTAAAGCAAGTGAAAAGTTCCAGTAGAACAAAGGGGCTAGGGTGGTTTTTGTCTACATTTTTCTGTAGGGGTCTATTTGGGCTCTAAACTGATACAACAGGAAAGCCAGATTCCAGAATATTATAAGTAATAGAAAATTTCTACTAGGTCAGGCAGCGCCACAGGTATTATGGTTCTGCAGGTCTGTGCTGCTATCCAGATGGAACCAGCTTGCATTTATTTGGGCCAATTAGTTTAAAGCCAGCAGCAGCTTGCAATATCAAAGCTGGTTCTTGCAAAGACGTCCATATGTCCTGGTGCCCACAGCTCCACTTGCAGGAGCTGTAGGCACCGGTGCACGAGGATCAGGAGCCACACAGCACCTTAGGCTTTAGATTAATCTGTCCACACCGAATAGGCAATGACTTCAACAAGGACTTTAAACAGTATTGTAACCTTAAGATTTCTTTTAACTGTTTGCCTCAGTTATTTGCTAAGTCTCAGGCCAATACGTGTACATTTTTTTGTACAAAGGCAGGGGTTTTGTAAGATGACTCACAGTCCTGGGCTGACTGAGCCCAGAGCAGGTAGAAGTTTCTATGTTGCTGACACGTGGTACTGATGCTGTTTCTCATCGCGACAGGCCATGTGAGGTGTTCCTTGGGATGTCAGCCAGTGCTTCTGGCGTGCAGTACAGCCCTGTTCTGCATCTGTTGGCCGCGCGTTCCGCCTCATCACAAACCCACACGGGACCCCGGGACACGCCTTGCGCTCCGACCGCGTGTTCCGCTTGAAACAGTACAACACTGAATACCCAAAGAAGAGGATGTTGTTTTTATAGTATCTTTTTTTTTTCCTTCTTCCCTTTCTATGCAACTGTAAATTAATGAGCAGTGGAATATTTGTCACTGATTTGTATAAATATACAGCCAGGGGAAAAAGGGCAGGGGCTTTATATACGTTCCTTTTGATAATCGTAAAGAGAACTGCATAAGGAGTTTGGAGCAAAACGTTATGTTTATACATTCCTTTCAGCTCTTTGCTTTTGCATTGTAAAGTACCCTTAGTTATATTCTCACACATGTAATATTCTGTACTGATAATTTGTATGCTAACCCTATGACCACACAGATTTCAGAATATCCTTGCATTGTTTTCAGCATTGGCATATGAAGTTCCCATAATCTGCATTATTGTTACTGGTTAACAACAATTGTCATTAGGAGCAAGATACAATATTTTAACTCAATTAAACAAGGTAAACTCTCATTTCAAGTCATAATTAGCATCCTCATGTACCTAAGTGGTATTTTTAACTTCCTTTTTGTTATTTCCAGACAACACTCCATTTGGAGGATTATTTTTTAAGCTTTATTTTACTTTGAATCGGGAGATAGCTAAAAAGAGGACTTAGATGATAGCTTAAGTTGGTTTTAGTAAGAACTAAGTTAGTGAGATCCCTTTCTTTTGTCTGCCTCTTGGAAATGAAGAGACAATTAAAAAGCCCTTTCCAATACTATTACCAACAGAACTTTCTCCAGAACTGCAGTGCACGTAGGTATTATCATTTGGCATTGTAATCTTGCAGATCATCCTTATCTTTAAGATAATTTATTTTATTACTTTTGATAAGGATAATTATGGGAAAGTATGTCACTGATCATCTGATCTCTAGTTTTAAAATTATCATAAGAGCTTTTAATGCCTTCACAGAGTTTACAATGCTGCATGGACACTTGCTTTAATTCTAGGACATACCTTTAATTGGTAAAACTGCATGCAATACCTTTCCTATATAGTAAAGAGAAACAAAGCTGTGTTGTTCTTAATTATTACTGAAGGAAAAAAAACCTTATCTTAAAATGGTATTGAAAGAGGTGTAAAATTTTCTACTGCTACTTAAAAAATGCTAGGGGACATTAAAAGAGCAGGTCAGGAATTTCTCATGGCTTTGTGAAATTTTACCAGCCAGACTGTCCTGCACCCACAGTATTTACTCCTGAACTGCTGCTGCTCAAGGAGTGATTCAGGCACAGTGCTGACCACCTTCTGCTGTTGGCACCAGTGCCAGTTCTTTCTGAACCCTTTGGCAAGTTATTTAACCACTCTGCCTCTGTTTTCCCATCTGTAAAATGGGGATGATAGTGCTTACCTCTCAAAGGTGACATAGACTTGGCATTCCTACAGAGCTTTTCAGATGCTAACTAAGTATTAGTCTTGAGCAAATGGAGCAGAGCTATCAAGGTGGGAAGAAAAGATGCTGGCTCCTATTAAAATGTAATGTAGTTATTCTGAGAAGAAAAAACCCCACATTTTACAGAAGAGGAAAACCACGACCACCTTTCTACCTCAGACCTATCTTCATAAGTAGTATTGGAAATAGCTTTACTTTCTGTTCTCTGCAAAGTACTTGGCTTTTATCAAGCTACGTCATTCTCTAGGCAAAGAATCTTTAAAAATACTCCCAACATAAGTATAAAAAGAAATCAGTAGTGAATTTGGTGGGTTTTATTTTTGTTCTGAATATGAGGTTATGTATAAAGTTGTTTTTCTGCCTGTGTTTGTATGCCTCCTTTGTCCTCTGCTGCCAAGTAAATGCTGCTTCAAACACTACATTGTAACATTCTTTCTCTGAGACAATAATAAATAAAAGGAATATATTGCAGTAACATGAGAAAAAATATGGAGTTCTTCCAAATTTTGTGGGCTTCAAAGATGGCACATCTCATTGCTAAATGCTGAAAATGTCATTCTGAATATTAACATGCGCAAGCTTTGATAGTCAGTTTCTGTGTCCTGGCTTTTTCTCTGTGTGGTTTGAGTTTATATAAATGCGATTAAGCAGTAGGTTTTGGGGGTTTTTTTCATAAATCTTGCATATTTTTTCTAGTTTTCCATCTTGAGTGATTTTAGTCTGGAATCCTTCTCAGTTTCATGACAGATAGTAAATCTGATAGCTGAGAAGCAGACTGCTTTTTTTTAAACTTTAAATGCTCTGTATATGTATTACAGAACAGCAATAATGCATGAAGCCCTGTCAAATAAGAGAACTGTAAATTAGTCTTCAGGTTTTTTGGTGGCTTTCAGTCAACACACTCAACTGAGCCACAGCATTAGGTATTCAGCAGCACAAGGTAGAAAATCTACTTTCTGGTATTTGCATTAATGCAAGTTATTTTAATGACTGTGTTAGAATTGCTACACTTAAAGGAGAAAAAAAGTGGGAAGCCCTAATAATTCTGTTTCCTTATCATAACAGTTGGCACTGGTTTTGTGTTTAGTTGTGGGGTTTTGTTTGTATTTTATTTTTAAACTCTTAACAAATGTCAAACATAAGTGTCAAAGTGATGACCTTTTCCCTCAGTTTATGAAAGGATGGTTAACAAATAAGTTGTAGGGAAATATCATTATTTAAGTGATTCAGCAGTTAGCAAGGAATTTAACTACAGAAATAGTAATATATCAAGTCAAATTAAGTTCTCTATTTAGAACAATAAATGTCTTAAGACACTTTTAAAACCAGACAACCTGTCATTTAATAAAAAAAAAAGTAAACATTTTAGTTATATACTTGTAGAGTAGGAGGCAGCAGAAGAGAGAGGTATGGTTCAATATCAGGGCCTGACTTTGGGAATAATTTATGAAAGTGCTCCTATCTCCAAGTTGCACCCTCTGTACTTCAATTGCCGAGGTAACAGGCACCAGAATTCTGTGATGCTGTCACCTGTAAGGAAGGTACTCAGCTTAAAAAGTCATCCTTCAGTGCTGTGCCACAAAGGTCCTGCCCTTGACATGGGGAGCAGAATAGCACCCACTTCTCACCAGCTTTTCTCAAGGGTGCTGGGGACAGTGTGTGGGCACCTCTGCTCCTCCATGCACAGTGCAATGGTGAGCACTCCCCTCCCTTCTCCACCCAACCTTTAAGTACTAATCAGCCTCTTGTGCTGTTATTTTGTCAGGCCCAATAAAGCCAACCTGATACTTTCCATGAGAAGGATTGTCTCAGTCCAAAATACACATCCATGCAAAACATCAGGAGGGACACCCTCCTGCACAGCCCAGAATAGATGGCATTGGTTGATAGCATATCAGTTTAAATTCTCATTAGAAAACACCCTTAAGCTGTATTGTTAACAAGTCAGTTCATTTTCTCAGAGAAGGTGCAAGATTGATGCATCTAATTCAAATCAGAGGGTAGAAATCCTTCTGCTATTGGGGCTTCATCTTCAGGGCAACTTTCACAGTGAAACAATCATCTTAGTATGGGTGGTATTATTTCTTTTTAGACCAAGACAAGACTCTTCATATGTTCAAAACCAAGATAGATTATGAGACACCAGCCCTGCTAGGTCGGAAATACTGGACACAGACCATCAGTATGCACATGAAAATTTGTGGCACTTCCCTGTCCTGGGTCAGGGGTTCTGGCCTCTCTCCTGTTATTTCTACAGTTGGAAAAATACCAACACAACACAACCAACCAAGAAACAACCCCAAAAAACCCACCAAGTGACAAGATTTAAAAAACAAACAAACCAAAGTTCAGCCAAATTAAAAATGTATTACTGTGATGGGCAAGTTTTGGATTTATGCAGAAGACCAAAATATTCTTTTAAGCATTTCCAGTCCAAGTTACTCCCTTGGGAAAGAATTTGTTCACTATATATATATATATTTCTCTATTTTAATATGGAGTTTCCCTAAGAAAATCCTTCATGAAGGCTTTTTTTTTTTTTTTTTTTTGCAGCACTGCAAAACTGTAAAATGGATCCTGTCTCCTGTCATGCAGAAATGAAGATGTCATGCCATATGGCTGAGAATTCTGTTCCCACAACAACAGCAATAAAATCAGTCTTACAAATCCTGGCAAGGTGTAAATTAATAACAGTGGGGTATGAAAAAAAAAAAAAAACAAACAAAAACCAAACAACTTTTAGAGGGGAAAAGAATATTTGAGCAGGAAGAGACCTCTTGCATCTTAGAAGCAAAAAAGCTCTCAGTAGTCATCAGATCAGCTGCTGTGTTCCTCAAACAGTGTTCTTGAGGCTGGAAAAGGTGAAATCATTCTTGGCTCACATAGCTTTGGGAATCTATCTTCTGTCTTTAGTGCCACTTTCACGATGTGCCAGCAAAAATTTCAGTCCTTACCACTTAAATTTATACATAAGAAAGAACAGCTGCATGTGAGTGCAGCAGCCACCTTCAGAAGGGGTAGGTAGTGTTTTCATCAGCTGCTTTTCTAAACACCTCAGACACCAGGAGTGGGCTGGCTCAGCTCATTTTTCCAAGCGTCTCAGCACTGCAGCAACTGGCCCAGCCAGCACAAAGGTATCATTTAAATTGAAACCTGCTTATTAAAAGTGAGAATCCAGGAGAGCTGCACAGAATTACTAGCTGTGCTAGTCTTGAGTATATTGGACAGGAGAAGAAAATGAAAAAAACTCACATACCACTTCAGTGTCTGTGCTTTGCTATCTATCCTCTTTCATGTCATCTCTGAATCTATTTACAGATTAACTATTCATGCTCTTGTTAGTAATTTTCTTTATGCAGCCAGATAAACACTGAAAATGTCTGTTTTTCTGACTGAGGTGGGTTGACCCTGACTGGATGCCTGGTGCCCACCAAAGCCTCTCTATCACTCCCTCAGCTGGACCTGGGAGAGAAAATACAAGGAAAGCTCATGAGTTGAGATAAGGACAGGAGAGATCACTCACCTAACCCACAAATGAAGTTGTGTACACTAATAAATAAGAGAACAGGCAGAAGATACAATAGTAACTGCCACTGACAATCCACATCATTGCTTTAAATGCCCACAGGAGTAAAAGAATGTTAAGGGGTAACTAGATCCTCATCCTTGAAGATCAAAGTGGCATTTACCTTCTTCCAGTCCTCAGGGTCTTCCTCTGTTTCCCATGACCTCCCCAAGAGCATTTAATTTAAGAGTATTTAATTTTTTAATTAAAAGCAGTCTTGCAATGATATTAGCCACTTCTCACTGCACTCCTGGATATGTCCCAACACATCCCATGGGCAGTTGGTTCAGTACATCCAGTTTGCTTAATTGTTCCCTAACCTGGTTCTTCTCCATCAAGGAGGAGGACATCTCCCTTGCTCCAGACTTCGGGCTAGTCTTACTACTAAAGACTGAGATAAAAATGGGATTCAGTACCTCAGACATTCCTGTGCCCTTTGTCACCAGGTCTTCTTCACCAGTGGGCTCATGTTTTCCCCACCCTGCTTTTTTCTGCTGCTGTACTCAAAGTCATTCTTTGCACCTTTTTTATCCCATATCAGGCCTTGGCTTTCCTAACCCTATCCCTGCAGAACTGGGCAGTATGTCTGTGTTCTTCTTGGTCCCCAAACAGGCTGAAGCCTGCTCTCCTGAGGTCTGGGATGCAGTCCTGCTTTTTGCCTTAATCCTTCTGGAATCCAGAGCACTGTCATCTCACAGTCACTGCAGCTGCAGCAACCTTTAACCTTCACATCCCTTATCCATTCTTCCTTTGTGAATAGGAAGTCCAAGCAAGATCTCTTCTCTCACCAGATTCTTAGTCATTTACATGAATAGATTGTCACCAGTATACTCTAAGAAATGTTCTCTCATCAGTTAGTATAATTCTTGCATGATGTCCCAAAAAAATCTTTTGCCAGAGAATTGCAATACATGAGTAGAGGACCTTTTAAACACAGATGCTTTGGATGATTTTGTTATTACCTCTGAAAGTATTTTGGTGAGCAGTTGTGAGAAATCTAATGAATGACAGCAACACCCAGACAAGTGAAAACATCCAGCTGTATTTCTGTCTCTCCAGTGCCAGCAGCCCCTCTGGAATGGAAAGTGTAGCTCTGACCTACTTGCTTTCAACAGACTATAATTACAGCACTTACCAATTTTCTATAAAAATACAGACATGAACAAATAGAAAACCCAAGTGGCTGAAACATGAGCAGAATAACAATGTTACTTCATCCCCTAAATCCCAGTTGCTGCAAAGATGATGCCTGTAGGCTGAAAAGTAAAACCAGTGAAATGACAGTAAACTATCAGAACAAGAGTTGAGTTTATTATGAAATACGAGCCAGACTTTATACACAAAGATATACCACAGTATTTGTCAGTCTGCTGCCTAGACTTGGAATTTCCTCCTCCCTAAAATGTCTGCTTGCTTGCTGTGACAGCAAAATTAGCGATAGCTTTAGCAGAAGAGAATTATTTTGACTTTCAAATTCATCTGATTTCTCAAAGTGAAGACTGTGCTATGCATTTGGTGGCAAGGAGCTGAACTATGTGCCCAAAGCTGGACCCAGCACCCCAGCCCCAGTGTCCCCAGAAAAAGGGGAATAGTCACTCCCTTTGATCTGAAGATTAGTTTTGTTAGGACACCCTCCCTTTGCTGCCAGAGTACTCTGCCTTGGGACAACACACAACCATCCATGGAAAAGGCACTAGGTGATAGATGAGGCTGCAGACTTCCAGGTTAACCTACTTAATTCAGAGCTTGGTAGCATTTGGCAAAGAAATTCTTCTGATAACTATTCACATTCTTGTTACCGCAGACAGTTTTGGTTCTCTTTTCCTGCAAATCACAGTACTTGTAATACTATTTAGAAAAACAGGATTAGGAGATAAATATTTCCTAACGTGCCACTTTCCTTTAGCTGCTCTTCTTGCAGA